AGTTGGGAACAGAGGTTGAGAAATGAGCAGTTAAGAAAATGTGTTAGGGATCTCTGTGTGAGAAAAGAAGTCAGGAACTTCTGTTATTGAAGAAGTAGGACTTCCTGTTTAAGAAAAGGAGAATTGGGAATCTCTGCCTAAAAGAAGAAGTTAAGAAACACTGTCTGAGGGAGACAATGAAGAATATCTGTTAGAGAGTTAGTTAAGAATGGCTGCTTGTGAAGTTAGTTGAGTAGGGATTGCAGTTTGTGAAGGACAGAGAGTTAGGGATTCCTGTTCATGAAAGGTAGTTAATCAATCCTGTTAGAAAAGTAAGCCGCTAGTCAAATAAAGTACAAGTTTTAGGAACCTAAAGAAAAGCCAGTGGTGCTTGAATTGGAAAATACTGTTAGTCCTGTATGTGTAAAGCAAATACCATCTTGATAAATGAGAAACATTGAGAGCCTAATTCAAGAAAGTGCAACAAGTATATTATACGTGACTGAAACTCAAGTTTGCAACAAAAATAGTAATTGTAACCACAATCGTTTGGAGCTTGGAATGTTTGAATAAACGTTGATACTTTGTTTCATACAAGAGAGACTCAAGCCTGTGTTTCCAAGCCAAGAGGCTTCTGTTTTACAACACACAGAGCGTCCCAGATATTAAAGCTTTGGTAGAAGACTGCACATAGGTGCATGCTTCTTTTAACAAACTGGTGGCTTCCCTCCCTGATACTTTACACTTGTATATTCAGAACTTTGAAGAATTGAATAATTGGTAGACCAATTATTCCTAACAGTAGGCTGTTAGGAATTGTGGGAGTTGGAGTCCAAAACATCTGGAGAGAGGGCCAAAGTTTGCCCATGCCTGATGTAGACTATACAATGGTTCACTCAAACAAATCACAGAATGCTAGAGGATGAATAAAATTTATTTAGATTTGCAACACAGAAACCAAATTTGAAAGTTTTTATTACATTCATATGATAGCAACATTTATAAACTATTGTTAAAATATGAAAAAGGGGTAGAGTAGGGGAAGAATTGTATGGCTAAATGGGCACAATGGGAGAAGGTTTGGACAAAGAGTATGATATTTACTTTGTAAAGTCTTGGCTTTGCTTTCTCCTCTCCTCTGCTTTAATTTCCCCTGTTTATAGGCCTTCCCAATAGTGTAGAGATCTTCCTTTGTATTAGTTTTTGGGTGGAGCTTAAAATCCCCTCACAGGCCACTCTTAGTTGGTCTATACAATTTCCCTGTATAGAGCTATCTTGCTGTACTCCTCACTTTTCTACAGTCACTAGAGGCTTGGAGCATTGTCTGGTGATCCTAGGCCAAGCAATCCAAAAACAGGCATTCTTAGCACCTGCTGCATTTAGCAGTATTTTTATACCAACACTCCAAATGACAACAGAATCTTTTGGCCAGCATAAACTTCACAGGAGAGAAGATTAAGACAGTTTGTAAGCAACAACTTAAAATCCATCACTTTGCACCAGAGGAAAGAGAGACCCCAGAAAGATGACTGCAACCAGGAAGATCTCCTTTTGTAACGTATTGTTTTAAGTTACCTTATGATAGTCCCAGGTGGAGTTAACCCTTTATTCATCTTGTTTCAGTAAACTCATTTGGTTATCTTTTCACCTTGCCTAAAGTGCCTCTATATGTTAAGGGTCAGAAGGTATTAGCCCCAGAATAAAACCAGACAATATAGTTTCCCCAAAGGCTCAGACATGCCATCAAATACTTTATGTAATTATTTTAAATAAAATGTTTATAAGATGATGCATAGGTGGTACCAGACCCCAGATATGTGTCCAGTGAATGTTGGAAATATGAGAAAAATGTTGGGACATTCCTTCACAGATGATGGTCTTATAAAAAGACCCAGAAATATTGGACTCAAATACACATGATACTAGAAGATATTGTAATGATAAAATTTACAATGAAAATTTGCTGAGGATGCTGGATGATCAATTAGAAAGGAAAAATTGAAGATTATGATCATTGCATGATCATTGCCCTGAGAATCATCTGTGCCCAGAGATGGAAAGAACCAGATATCACAACACATGAAGGATGGCTAATGAAGATATGTGAATTAGTCGAGATGGATAAATTGATGATACTGATTAAGGAAAAATCCCAAATTTAAGAAAGACTGGGACTCAGTTATGATGTTTTAACAGCAAGGATGGGGAAAATGTTCAATTATTTGTTTTCTGATTTGTTGTTGTTCATTCGTTCAGTCGTCTCCGACTCTTCGTGACCTCATGGACCAGCCCACGCCAGAGCTCCGTCGGCCCACTCCCAGCTCCTTCAAGGTCAATCCAGTCACTTCAAGGATACCATCCATCCCATCTTGCCCTTGGTCAGCCCCTCTTCCTTTTCCCTTCCATTTTCCCCAGCATTATTGTCTTCTCTAAGCTTTCCTGCTCATTATGTGGCCAAAGTACTTCATCTTTGCCTCTAATATCCTTCCCTCCAGTGAGCAGTCGGGCATTATTTCCTGGAGTATGGACTGGTTGGATCTTCTCGCGGTCCAAGGCACTCTCAGAACTTTCCTCCAACACCACAGCTCAAAAGCATCGATCTTCCTTCGCTCAGCCTTCCCTAAGGTCCAGCTCTCACATCCGTAGGTGACTACAGGGAAGACTATGGCTTGGACTAGGCAATAGATCTTTGTTGCCAGTCTGATGTCTCTACTCTTTACTATTTTATCGAGACTGGACATTGCTCTCCTCCCAAGAAGGAAGCGTCTTCTGATTTCCTGGCCACAGTCTGCATCTGCAGTAATCTTTGCACCTAGAAATACAAAGTCTGTCATGGCCTCCACATTTTCTCCCTCTATTTCCAGTTGTCAATCATTCTTGTTGCCATAATCTTGGTTTTTTGGATGTTTAGCTGCAACCCGGCTTTTGCGCTTTCTTCTTTCACCTTGATTAGAAGGCTCCTCAGCTCCTCCTCATTTTCGGCCATCAGAGTGGTGTCATCTGCATATCTGAGGTTGTTAATGTTTCTTCCAGCAATTTCCACCCCAGCTTTGCATTCATCAAGCCCCGCACATCCTCGCATGATGTGTTCTGCATACAAGTGAATAGGTTGGGTGAGAATATACAAGCCTGCCGTACGCCTTTCCCAATCTTGAACCAGTCTGTTGTTCCGTGGTCAGTTCTGACTGTTGCTACTTGGTTCTTGTACAGATTCTTCAGGAGAGAGAAAAGGTGGCTTGGTATGCCCATCCCACCAAGAACTTGCCACAATTTATTATGATCCACACAGTCAAAGGCTTTAGAATAGTCAAAGAAGCAGAAATAGATGTTTTTCTGAAACTCCCTGCCTTTCTCCATTATCCAGCGGATATTGGCAATCTGGTCTCTCGTTCCTCTGCCTTTTCTAAACCCAGCTTGAACATCTGGCAACTCTCGCTCCATATATTGCTGGAGTCTTCCTTGCAGGATCTTGAGCATTACCTTACTGGCATGAGAAATAAGGGCCACTGTACGGAAGTTTGAGCAGTCTTTCGCATTTCCCTTGGAAATGCGAAACCATGGATTGAGATTTTGTAGATTTTGTTTTGTAGATTACAGAAAACATTTGATTGTGTAGAATCAGGAAAAACCATGGATTGAGATTATGGAAAGACATCAGATTGGGGAAGGCTTCTCTAAATGGAAGTTATACATGCCTGCAACACAACTGAGTGACATCAAGTGAGCTCAGTTGTGTTGCAGGAATGTATAACTTGTGTTGCAGGAATGTATAACTTCCTTTTAGAGAAGCCTTCCCCAATCTGATGTCTTTCCATAATCTCAATCCATGGTTTTTCCTGATTCTACACAATCAAATGTTTTCTGTAATCTGCAAAACAAAGGCTGAATTTCTTTTGAAATTCTTTGATGTGCTGTATCGTCCATATCCTCTTCAACTACCCATGCAGATCTTTGCTGTTGGATCAGAACAGCATATACAGGGTGAGGCAACATAACTTCCTTTTAAAAAATGTGCGCCATTCAGTCAGTTGAAGACGTAGCGGAGCGCTAGTGGTCTTGTTCGAGAGGTGGAAGTATAAAGTTTTGTCCTGACACAGTTCAGTCGCCATCATGCGTTGGAACAGCAAGGTGCGTGCTTTTGCTGTTGAGGCCTACTTTTCCTGCGGATTAGGAGTGTCTGGCCCGTTCTACAGATTTGGCCCCTTGTGATTTTTTTCTATGGGGTTTTTTGAAATCCCATGTTTATGTGAACTGTCCAAGGACCCTACAAGATTTGAAGACCAACATCCAGGAAGACATTGCCAACATAACGCCTGCTATGCTGGCAAGTCATGACAAACGCCAGAAATCGGTTTACTCAGTGTATGGAGAATGGGGGACATTACCTACCTAATTTGATCTTCAAAACTACGTAAAACAAAACTTTATGTATGTGCCTACATTATAAAAAATAAAAATTTCTGATTCATACAATGGGTTTTATTAAGTTTTGAAAAAAGGAAGTTATGCTGCCTCACCCTGTATTAGCATAGTCTTGAGATTTTACATGGTAATCTACATTAGGTATTTTTAATTACATTTCAGCAGAGCAAAAAAAACAAAACAAAACAAAACAAAACAACCCCTGGTTAGCATCAGGAAGAGTGTTGCAATGTTCATCTGGTACATCTGATATGAACTGAGTGCTCCTGTTGTTCAGTACTTCTTTGCCAGGATCCAAATGTGTACACTTCCCATTGCACATAGGAACATAACACATCTGGCTCTCCAATATTGTGAAACAAATTACTATGTAAATAGTACATAGTAATATCCCAGCAACCCATGGGTGAATATGGATATTGTGAAACTGCTTGGTCCATTTATGGAGATCTACTCACTATATATATAAGAAGAGTGTAGAATGTAAGACATTATTACTACTGCCATTTCTACCATATATTATCTCATATGAGTGAAGCAAATGATGTTCCAAACCTTGTATAGCCCAAGATTGCAAAAATGGCAGTAAGACCAACAAATCTGAATAAATAAGCATCAAATTTATTTAATCATGAATAATTTAAGACTGGTACAATCATTAGCTTTATTCTCCATGACATAGGATGGGACAGGACAGGGGATTAATGGTAAGGGCAAGCAGAGGCAAGGAATGGTCCCAAATAGACCTTTTGCAAATTCCAATCCTAAATGGTAACAGAAAATTAAATAGGGAGGTGGGAAAAAAAACATCATACTGTACACAAAATACTCAGTCCCTAGTTTTTTTTCTCTTTTAAAAATGGCTAGAAAAAATTCATCAAAATGCAGCACTTGTAATCAAATATTTACATTTTTATGTTACAATGAAAAAATGTACATCTTAGAGAACTTTCCCCCCCACAAATGGTTCCACTGGAAACAACTAGATCAAAAACAGTAACCTTTCATTTAATATCCACATTTTTTTTGTTTTTCTTTTGTTTTCCTTAAAAGAGAATTGTCACATTTAGACAAGGTTCAAGACACATAATATCAAAAGTTTAAGCATCGACAATGCAATATTGTAGGGGTTTTCTTTTCTTTTCTTGCAAAATATACCAAAAAAGCAGGGAGGCTAGCCATATCCTCCCTGTCTCTGCACCATTATCCTAAAAACCAAGAAGAAAAACTCACATTATATGATTTATGACTGATAAAATTCTTGACTGCTGTGGAGGAAAGGAAAATGTTGTATGCTTCCAATTCATAACTAAATAGGTATGTTGCATAGAATTTTGTACTAAAATCAACTAGAGGAAATCATGCTGATTTGGCCAAGGGGGAATGGTGAGACTGGAAGCAATCTGGGTAATTTTTGTTGTCATTCCAATGGGGAGGGGTGTCAATTCATTCACACAAGAAAGATGAGCAAGTTAAGGAATGTGCATAATGAACAACCCTGCTTCCCGAAATTTCAGAAAGGGCACTACAATTGTGTAAAAGAATGAGAGTACTCCAGGTTAATTTTTCAGTGATCCAAGCCATATTTTGTTAGAGAGCAATAAGGAAGATAATTATTTTCATGAATGTCACAACAGGATAGGTGGGAAAAGTGGATATCAAGACTCATTTTATATAATAAGCCAACTCAAAGGTGATCAGATAAATTAGACTCCAGTGTGGAACAAACTTAAATCCAACTCTAAGAGAAATTTCACATATGATCTTTCTCAGCTGTTATTATTCCTGTAGGAGTAGGAATGTTGTGTGCCTTGGTATATATCCCAAACAGCTCTAATACATAAAAAGAATAGGGGAAATATAAGATCTTTACATCTATTTTATTTTGCACACATAGTGCTATCCCTTCCTTTGAAATGATCCACGGAGCCCTAAACTCAAATATGTACATTAGAAAGTACACTTATGCAAAAAAAATTTGCAAGGAGGCAATCTGATGCACACCTCTGCAAGGGTCTCACTCGATTAAGTCAAATGTGTGACACATACTTATGAAACAGATACTACAACATTGTAGGTGGGTTTCTTGGTAATGAAATACATAGAATTAAGTTCTAAGTATAGGCTTTTGAGGCATACAATGAAACTGAATTTTACAATTTAGCCTCGAGTTCAAACATAATGAAAACATTGTTGATATAGATTTATACACAACAGCTATAGTCCTCAAGCCACTTGTGATGTTGGACTAGAATCCTTAAGTGTTTCTATCTATAATGGATTGAATCTGGACTTACTTTAAAGCAGATTAACAAGAATAAAATGGGATTTAACATTCCTGTTGATCTCAATGGGTCTACCATAACCACAAGCAGTTCTAGAACTTCCCTAATTAGATCAAGGTGTACATATAAAGCACATATTCCCAATAGGTTCAACTGGTGGAGAAAACCCACTTCGCTCTGGAACAATACTAGGTGACTTACACCAGTTGATTCTCTGTTGTTAACGGCTACTCTTTTAAGGACAGGGTCTTAACATTATCAAACATGTGATCACAAACTGAAAACATGGTAGCTGGGGAAGTATCTATGAATTTGAACTATGCAAACAAAATGACCCACTCTGCCCACTTTCAAAATCACTGTGCAGTGGGAGAACAATTGTTTGCTAAATCTACTCTTAGGTACAGAAAGTCCCTGCAGTATCTACGTTTTAGTTAGAGTGCATCATTTCCTAACATATTAAAAACACCATGTATTTAGTGTGATGTTTGTGGCTCCTATTAGTTTGACTGTAAATTCAGGCCATCTATAAGATTGCAAAGAAATGGAATTTGATCCATTGTGTCCAAAATATAAACTATTTAAAAACTCTAATTTAGGGAAGGAGGCTTGCATGGTCTTCTTCCATGCAAGTAGACTTTCTCCACTGGAGGACTTCTCCAAAAATTATTTTGACAGAGTGGAATGCAAAGATATCCCTATGAAGCAAATGTGATAAGGCTGGAGTAAACCCAGATTTACTGAAATAATTAGTTCAGAAAAAGCACATGGCACAATTCCTCCAGGACCGTACCACTTTCAGAATGTATGCATCCAGCATACATCAAATGGATTTAAAAAAATATTCTGCAAATGGAAAGCTAGCATAGTGTGATGAGAGCTAAAATGACATTATTTCCATATAAGTGGAAATACATGTTCTACAAGAAGGGCAAAATCTGTATGGGAGATTGTTTTCCAAAAACAGCTTGATTGTTTTAGCATTCTGGATAACAGGAGTGGGATTAACAAGATTAGCAGAGGAACCATGTTCTGTTTTGAAAGTAACACTCAAGAATCCCTTTTATATTCAATAGTAAATGTCCATTTGAGCAATTTCAGTAATTCTACAAATGACTGTGTTGTTCCAAATGCTGTTAGAAAATGGATAAAAAAACAAGTTCATAAAAGGCTCAAAAGACAATATAATAAATTCACTATCACTGAAAGCAGAAAACCATGAGGTATGATAAAAAATAACCAGCTCAGTAAACTCTCTTTTCAAAAAATGTGGCAAATATTTTACCTGCATATTTCAAAACCAAACATAGAAAGACTTTATCACTTTGAGTTTAGTAGTGATGCCAAACAGTCTCATACAAAAAGGTGTTTTTTTTTCCTTTTTTGCTTCTATTGTAGATACAACTATCCAACGTTTAGGTGGCTAGCTGTAAGCTGATATGGAAATTCTCCAAAGGTCCTTTCCTTTCTCTGCATCCTTTCCCCTCTTAGTAATTGTCACATTTAGCAAGAAAAGGAATTCCATACATATACGACAGTATTCACAGCAACTCACTTCATTGTACTCCAAGAGATGACTTCAATAGCCCTGTTTTGTTTAAATTAAAAAGAAGAAACCTTCCATCATACACAGCATTAATGGAATTCAACCAAGTAGTAGAAAGTAGGTAAGGCATCATGTTTAAAAATCAGCACCCAAAGATAGCTGAAAAGGCTTGTATGTTTATTCGTGTGTGTCTCTGAATGCAGAGGGCTGTTGTGCTCACTCCTGGGCTGGTTGCTGATGTAAACTTGAAACAAAACTCCACATACAAACCAGAGTGCAGTTTTTGTCCCCCAGCAGAAGAAAGCACCAAGCCTTCATTGTTAACAAAATAACCCCTCCAAACTTCTATTCTGTGCATTTGGAGATGATGCTGGGATCCAGAGAAATCCGTTAATTGTTTAGTAACAGGTTTAAAAGCACCATTTTGGAAAAAATAATAGTAGAGATGGAAAAGGTGTTACCATACAGATGTATTGGATTACAATGCCCATTAGCCCCATATCTGCAGGAATCATATTGTATACATGAACGAAAAGCGGGGATCTTATTAAGCAAAAAACTATGGACTAAGAACTTATTTGAGTGACTACAGTCTCAGATGTTATTCACATTTCCCAACTTTTACTATGACACCCCCCCCCCCAATAATCCTTTTATCTTTTCACAAGCTGTTTTGAGCTAACGGACGTTGTCCCAAGGCAATAAGAACAGTCTACCCCAAGGGATGGTAATCAGTGTTGGAAAAGCAGATGGAAAGACAAGGTCTTTTTTATTCAGGCCTTCCCTCTTTAAGCAGGCCATGTTTGATAACCACCTCCTTGGCTATGAGGGTGTGGAACAAGCCCCCCCTCCCTGCCCCGACACACATGTTGCCACTTCTTCTTACAAAATTGATGTTGAGATATATAGGTGCATCTTTCTGATGTGCTGTTGAGTTTAAACATGCACCAACATTAGGATCCATGGGGCTAATGGAGGGGTGTGTGCGTGCGCACTGCCAGAATCCAAAGAACCATTCATATAATTAGTCCTACAAAGGGAATTTAGACTGGATTTTTTCTCTATGACAAATTGTTTTTACGATTTGGGAGTTTGCTCTGTTCTCCAAGATACAGTTATCAGAAAAAAGATAGAAAGAGAGAGAAAGAAAGAAAGAAAGAAAGAAAGAAAGAAAGAAAGAAAGAAAGAAAGGGAAATTTCTATTGAACCAGTGCAAAGACTGAGCAGCTCTTTAGATCCTGACAATTGCTTCTTCAGCATTTTGTTCAATCACTGATTATAGTATTCAAAAACCTGAACTGATGTTTTATAGTGTTTACATCAACATTTTTCAATTCACATTTCATATACATGGGAAGGTGCCCAAAGAACAAGCAGGTATCCATCAACAAGAACCAAACTGGACTCTGATTTCACATTTTCTTTGGCCTAAGTCCAATAGCTAGTTCCAAGCTGAGTACAGCCACTGAATCATTTGAATTTACTTAAGTGTTGACTTAGTCAAGTTCCCAAGACTCAGAGGGTTTGCTCAGACTGGGACTAGAGGCTGGATTTAAGCCACTCTCAGCAGGTCCTACTGCAGAAGAGATAAGCCTCTATAAAAACTTGCTTCTTCAGCAAAGAGAACAGTTGTAGTGAAAAAAATGAATTGTTTAGCTGCATGTTTGATTCTTCTTTTACACGTCTCTATCTATAGTCCAGATCCTGTTTTAAATGAGGCACAACATTCACAGCTTCAGTGGCGAGAAACAGATGATATGCAGCTGCTTTGCTCAGTGGATTGAGTCTAGTCCCGCATTTGTGTACACAAAATGAAAATAATAAATAAATGAAGCCAAATCCTCAAAATGGGGAATGGTTTCATTATGGGAAGGGTATGTCTCTGTGTATGAATATTTAAAATTTCCCTGTTTTTCATCTTTTTGCCTTTAATGAAATATTACTATCAAGGCGAGCAACTATTTTATAGCACCAGAACTATCGGTAGCTGAGGTCACACACAAAGATCACTTGTAAAAATTCCACCATAACTGTACTGAGTTTGATCAAAAGCAGCATAGGAAAGTTCTACTCTCTTGCTGGACAATATGTAGCACAGAGCTCTCTTGTTTGTTCCATAGCTTTCAAGGTGAGCATTTTTATTTTCTCCTCTTCCCCCCTCCCAACACTCTCCCCATTGTAATTAGTATTAATAATGCTTTTATGAAAAAAAAATTCAGTGTCTTAGGTATGTGAGCTTGCAGCAAAGTCAAAACAACAAAAAATAAAGTAGTGCAGTTCTTATTAATGAAAAAAACGAATAATAAAAACACAATATAAAAACATCCAGTGGGTTGCCTGCACCCACATTTGACACTGAATGAGGGAGGTGGTCAGCAGAAGGGGAAATAAGTTTATATTGTTCTTGCAGCTCTAATACTGAGACATCTGGAGCACCGACCAGCTATCCTCATCGATTCATGATCATTTTTTCCTAAGTGAAGCAGGAAATAGACCATGGGAAAAAACTATTTCTGTGAGTTTTGCATCACAATGTTGACTCCAGGGATGAGTCAAGGATGTCATCATGGTGGCTGTTGCTGTTGGAGTCACTGTCGTAACTTTGTGGGCTTGAATAGTTAGCTGCTTCTTGTAATCTCATCAGCATGTTCATCTGAGGAAACACAGAGAAGGACAAGAAAGCACTCAGTTTGATTTCACACTTTTTCGTTTGTGTTAAAACAGATATCTGCAGTCAGCTTTCAACACACTGAGCAGCCAAACGGAAGATAGACTCATCACATGAAAGACAGGCACAGTTTTCTCTAGTGAACATTGACTTCTTTAGCAGCCGAATGATGTGGCTTAAGTTCAGTTTGTGTGGAGGAAAACCAGATAAATAGCTATATACAGGAAGTTCGCAATGAACCCATCACTGTGAAAACCCAGGTGCCCTAGAAATATATCTATATATAGGTTGAGGTTTTGAAGGGTCCTCTCCATTTTGGGGGGGGGGATCTATTAAAACTCATATTGCTTCCATACTCTCTAGAGCAGTGGCTCTCAATCTGTGGGTCCCCAGGTGTTTTGGCCTACAACTCCCAGAAATCCCAGCTGATTTACCAGCTGTTAGGATTTCTGGGAATCGAAGGCCAAAACATCTGGGGAACCACAGGTTGAGAACCACTGATCTAGAGCATTTAGCCTTCCAACTCAGCTATTTACTTCTTTTTAAAAAAGCCTCCCTTGGATCTGAAACATGGCAAAGATAACCTCTTTAACACTTTTGAGAAGTTGCAGTTTGCATTTTGAATGTTTAAAAATAAATTTCAAAAATCACTGATGATGTACTGATGAAGGGTATGTGCCGTTCCTGATCCTCACATAGTTGTTAGTCTAAAGCAGCAGTTCTCAAAGTGTGCTCCATGGTTCCCTCCTCTTCCGTCCCCTCCAAGTTTTCCCTCTTCTCTCCTACTCCTCCCCTTCTCCCCGGCCCCCAACAGTATTTTCTCTGCGCCTCCCTCACTACAACTACTTCTTCTCCTCCTCATCACAAAGGCTGGGTGACCATCTGTTAGGGGTGCTTTGATTCTGCTTTTCCTGCATGGCAGAAGGGGGCTGGACTGGACGGCCACAGGGGTCTTCTACTGATATACTGTTAAGTTTATGTTGGTTAAAATGATTCCTCGTTTTAAATATTGTATTATTCTTTCTTTCCTTTTTTGCACCAGAAACAAGATATGTGCATAGGAATTTGTTCTCTCCCCCCCCCCCCCCCCCCAATTAGTTCACACAAATACTCTCTAGCCATTTACCACTGGCCTGGCCTGTCTGTCGATTTTAAAAACAAAATGCATCAAAAAGTTTGCCCGTGCCTGATATATATACATAATATAATATAAAAACATTATTGGGCTCCATGAGAAAATTATGTTTCAAAAAGGTCTCCATGGCTTTAAAAGTTTGAGAATTCCTGGTCTAAACGATAGAGCCTAAGTAGAGCACAAGTTGGTGCACAACAACAAAAGTAGTAAAAGCAATCAAAACACCCAATAAATTCAGCATTAAAGTAACGTCACTAAACCATAAGGTCCACAGAACACACTGCTACTCTAACTACTAACTGCCCATCTTCATTCTTTTAGCACACATATGCAGAATAGAAATATTTGCCATACTGCATGCTCAAAGATTTAGGAACATGCAACCACACTGAAAGAATGTGAGCTGAGAGCTAAACACCTCCTATTATATGATCAACATAATTCTAAATAACTACCATAGACTACATAGAGGACTTTGTACCACAAAGTACACATATGTGTACACTTCAAATACTACCACTGAAAATTGACCTCCAGTCATCATAAGATTTGACAATATATTTCAAACTCTTTGCAAATAACAGTATTTAGCAGACAAATCTCACCAGAGGATCTCCTTCAGCATCACTGGGAGGAACTTGTTTGCTGGTTGAACCTTCCCGGGGCATAGAATAACCATCAAATCCAACATCTTCTGGCCGCAGCTGGAGCAGAGGAGGCCATTCGTGGTGTTGTGGGGTGGCGGCCCATGGGTATGTCTCCATTACCCATTTGGCAGGGTCTTCCCAGGGAGCTCTTCTTCCGTACAACTGCAAGCAAGGGGAAAAAAAAAGAAGAGATCTCAACTTTAAAAGATGATTTTAAATTCATTTGTTTTCTGGCACTGGAGGCATTGTATTGAAACACCATATGTGGTTTGAGGACATATAGGACAGCCTTGATGTAGGTTTTAGACTTCTAGGATAAGGACAGGGGATTGCTTGAGAACCCCTATGAATGTAATCTTGAGTAATATGATGGAAAGTGGAGAAGAAATGAATAAACAAATATGTTGATGAAAAACATAAGGAACCTTAGAAGCTTAACAAATATTTGGCATATGCTTTTGGATATAGCAGCCCATTTCATCAATTGCATGAAGTTATTCCTCAAAAAGCAGGATGTCTAACAACTAATGAAATAAAAAGTCAGCAAACATTCATGTAGATGGTTCCCAAAGCAGCAGAGTAAGATTTCATTTTTAAAAACAGCTTGTTAGCTCCAACAGACCAGTACAGAACAAAGTATTTATCTGAGAATCATGTAAAGGGAGGGGAACAGAGAAGGTCGGTCCTCTTTTTTGAGGATGTCATACCAGGAAAAATCGTAATGATAGCAGAGATAAGAAGCTTCTCTGATCATTTTATTTTTTAGACTAAACAAGACACAATTCTATCTAAATTGTCTGCTTCCAAATTTGATTTTAATGCTATCAAAAACCAACATCAGTGCTTGGCATCGCTCTCTGGTTCTTGGCACCAAGGAAGAGGTGACTCAGCACATTTTAGACTCCGGCTTCAGACTCGCATGTCCCTCCATCGCTTTCAAGTAGCGTTTTGATCTGATTGCAGCTCAGTAATACACCGCAAATAGTCCAGTTCTGTGGAGCCAAGGTTTTTGTGAATACCCATTTATACACTTAGCCAAAATCTTTTCAACAAAATGAAAGCTGGAAAAAAATTTAATTGCTTTCAAGTTGAAAGTAAACATTCACTCTTTCATCCCTGTAACAGAAAGTTTTAGGTGTGCCTTCCAGATGAAATAAATATCAATTTTTTCATCCTTGTTACAGGGTTTTATGTGGCTGTCCTTTGGAGGGATTACAGTTCATCTGTTGTCCCTTCTGCTCTGACACATCATTAATTCTCTTGACACACTATTTCAGTGCCAACCAAAACCATGGTGGTAAAACCCTTTACAATCATTACATGATAGATACAAATTCTCTTCAGAAACAAAAGATAAGTTGCCAATAACATTTTATCTCCAGGAAAAAAATCAAATGAATTTTGTCTTCTACTTAAAATTAATCTCAATTCCCCTGCTATGTATGAATTCTGCACTGCCATTGGACCAAACATTCAAACAGAAAGTAAGAGGAAGAAGAAAATGGAAGAAAGGAGGGATGTTAATGTCTTCAAGACATGTCTGTGGGGGTCCTGGGACCCATCCTCTCCAGATACCTAAGGCTAACTGAATAGTCTTAATACTTAAGAGAACATCTTCATGACTAACATGTTAAACAATAAAGAACAAAATGTATAGCTGTTTTATTTTAATTTTTTAGAAAAAAATAACTGGATGCAAGTAAAATTCAAGAACTCCATTATTTCTATTTTCTTTTCAACAAGAGCTTGGAAAATGTTACTTTGGGGTGACTAGTTCTTAGAATGTCAGCAGCAATCCTACTCAATCTAACCAGAGGAAGCCCCCTGGATAAAACAGTGAGTCAACATTTAGGCAAATCCCATTGATTCAATTGATTTATTTTAGTCGAGACCACAAATCAGATATCTTTTTCAGATTTTAGTTTCAATCATGCCAATTAATAAATCTTAGCTACAAAAGCAGATGTTCTAATCACTCGGATTCTGACGCGTATTGTAACTGTGTAAGAAACCAGACTAAATTCTTTGGGGGTATTTAGTATGATTATTTCCTAATGTCAGTGTATACATTGTAGTTAATCACAAAATAAAGGGCCACGGTGATGCAACAGGTTAAACCACTGAGCTACTGAACGTGCTGACTGGAAATTCGGCGGTTCAAATCTGTGAGATGGGGTAAGCTCCTACTGTCAGCCCCAGTTTCTGCCAACCTAGCAGTTCGAAAACATGCAAATGTGAATAGCTCCGCCCTGGCGGGAAGGTAACGCCACTTCATTCAGTCATGCCAGTCATCTTGGAGGTGTCTACGGACAATGCCGGCTCTTTGGATTAGAAATGGAGATGAGCACCGCCCCCCCAGAGTCATATGCGACTAGACTTAATGTCAAGGGGAAACCTTTACCTTTAATCACAAATAAAAATGCCCCTGTGCAGTTTTGCTGGCTAAGGTATTGTGTACTTGTAAACACAACCTGGAAAAATATTTTTTAACTCCTATTTGGAAAACCATCTAATAGCAGAAAAACAAATCAAGGAAACGCACTGTTCTTTCCCTTTAGAATATTGCAAAAGACAGGTATGAATACCAAACACTGTGACAACAACAAAAGACAGAAGGTTAAAGGTAAAGGTTCTTCCCGACATTAAGTCTAGCCGTGTCCAACTCTAGGGGTTGGTGCTCATTTTCATTTCTAAGCTGAAGAGCAGGCGTTGTCCATAGACACCTCCAAGGTCATGTGGCTGGCATGACTGCATGGAGCGCTGTTACCTTCCTGCAGAAACGGTACCTATTGATCTATTCACATTTGCATGTTTTCAAACTGCTAAGCTGGCAGAAGCTGGGTCTAACAGCAGGATTCAAACCTGCGACCTTTCGGTTAGCAAATTCAGCAGCTCAGTGGTTTAACCCCTTGCACCACCGGATGCTCCAACAAAAGACACACACAAACATAAAGTGGACTCGTGACAGGAAATGTCACCATTAGAATGACAACATGTGATCCAAAGGGAGATTTGTGGGTATTTCCAGTGTGGAAATCTTTAACATCTTCCCTTTGAACAGCAAAATCTTAAATTGTTCATATTTATGAAATTTCCCGAGTTTGAAATAAGGCTTAACATGTGAGTGAAGGGTTAGTCAAAACCTCTAGCTTGAGAAATGACTTTTGGGGGGGGGGGGGATGAAGAGACACACAATCATCTGTTTAGATCTAGGTACAAATGGTAGCAGTCTAAAGCATAGATTCTTTCCTAAAATTATTTAAATAAATTGGGCTAAACGTTTTACAAAGGGGGAGGGAAAGACACAGAATGCATCCAAACCAATGTGTTAAGTGGATTCACTTCACTACTACTGCTTCCTTAGCATAATTTACATTTCATTCTGACAGCAGAGCAAATGGGTTCGGAGAAAAGTTGCCAGTCAAAGGTTAGAACACAAGAACTCATCAGTGAAATTGCGGGAAACTTCTACATGCCTCATTAGGTAGTCAGAAATTGGTGCTGGAGACAGAGAGAAGTAAGGGAATTTAGATTCTCCAACTTTTTATTACATGTCAGATACTCTCCCCATATTGGCTGGAGATTACAGACGTTGTATCTAATACATCTAGAAACCATCATGTTGAGGAAGGGTAAGCTATGCGGGTAAATGCTATAACCTTAAGAATGAATGCCAGAAGCCCACTCTACACTGCCAGATGATCAAATCAGATAATCCATATTATTTGCTTTGAACTGAATTATATGAGTATAGACTGCCATATAATCCAGTTCAAAGCAGATAATATGGATTTTATATGGCAGTGTAGAAGGGGCCTCAGTCTGTTTTGTTTTTCTCTTCTTCCTCTTCCCTCTGCACCTGTTCCTTTTGCCTTCTGTTTCTTGTGTCTTCTGTAAACCAGCCTTATTACTGAAGTTTCTAAGATGCTCTGGGATTCTTCTTTGTCAAAGACTGGTGTAAAAAATATTTACACATAAAAGGGTCTGAGACTGAATCTGAATCTGAGAAATTCATCTTCTCTTTTTAAAACTCTATTACCAAAAGTATGTGGGTAGTTATCTTAAATCTTTCTCTTTTTGTCCTAAAAAAAGCAACGGCTTCTCTCTCATGGTTGCTGAAAACATCTCTGAGCCAACCACAGTGAAATGAATAACAGATGGCATAACAGCTGTATTTTTCAGCATTCCTAATTTATCTGAACTATCATGGGCAAAAAAACCCTCTGGTGAACTGAGCTTTTTAACATCAAGGCCAAGATATGCATTTCTCAAGTGAAGCAAGTTGAAGATCCTTGTCCCTTAAAGCCATGTCACACTTAAAAGCTAAACTTGGATGGTATGCACACTAAGCATGCAGGATGCTGTTATCTGTTGTTAAAGTTGACTCATGGTGACCTCATGAATGAGAGACCCTCATCAACTATCCTCCTTAGATGTTCTAAATTCAGGGTTGTAACTTCCTTGATTGAGTCAATCCATCTGCACTCTGGTCTCACTCCAAGCATTGTCATCTTTTTGGAGTGAGACCACAGTGGTGGAGGCTCCTTCTTTGGAGGCTGGATGGCCATATGTCAGGGGTGCTTTGAATGCAATTTTCCTGCTTCTTGGCAGGAGATTTCACTGGATGGCTCATGAGGTTTCTTCCAACTCTATGATTCTATAATTCTGTGTATTCAGAAATATTGACATGTATTTTCTTTCACAAGCTTCCTGACCCTGAGCAATTAACAATTAATTTCATACACACATCATCATTATCATGGATACTCTTGGCCAAGCATGATTGTCTTCCAGAGGTCGAGTTTTGGCAGTGAATCAGTAACTGTCTGTGAAAACCTATTCTAGATCTGCATGGTCTACAAGGACATCGATTTCCAGATGGAAGGTTTGTTTTGAGGTGTCTTCCTCTCAGCACGTTTCCCACTTTCATCCTGTATTCATGCCTCTTCAAAATCCATTGTGCTGTTGGAAACAGCTGACCTCCAGTTACAATACTTGAGCACCAGGGCTTCCCAGTTCTTGATTTTTATTCTACATTTTTACATCGGCCTGTGATAACCCGAAGTATAAAACAACAACAGGAGTTTCCCTCACCTAAACTGGAACTGCGCCATTCTGCCTTTACCCTAGGGTGTTATATCTGATACTTGCCACAAGATGGAAGCAGCCACAGCAAAAAACCCAAACTAAAATATCCACCCATTTTGAAACACCCTCTATTACTATGGGATTGCCAGGAACCACGCGTGGAGACATTTATTTACTTAAAGCAGATATTTTCTTTTTAGGAGCTTTTGACTAATATCAAAAGTAGAGGCGAAAAAATATTTTGTACCTCTAACCACCATATTTTCACAAAAATAAAAATGTAGCAAGGGAGAGATATTACAATCTATTTCTTCACAGCCCATAAGGAAAAGCTTTCATGGCAAAAACAACTCTGTGCTCTTCCAATGATGCGGTGCCCTTGGGGTCACCAAAACACCAAGAGAAAGGGGTGGTTCATTTCATTACACTATTACATACCCAGATGATTTGTTACACATGAATGCATGGGTGTGGAAGGCAGTGTTGCTAAGATGGGAACTTATGCCAAAGATAATTTTTATTCAAAAAGAAAATATTTTACTGTTACTGAGGAATGCACTTGGAGAAGGTATTTCACCCAGACTCCACTAGATCAGAAAAGAAAACAGATTCAAACAAGCTGCTCTATACCAGTCTCGGGAAGTATGTGCACCTTTTCAAAACACTTTATTGTGTCAAGATCATCATATTGTTTGCAAGTCGCGTCTGGTGTGAGATAATTGCCCAGGGGATGCCTGGATGTTTGATGTTTTACCATCCTTATGGGAGGCTTCTCTCATGTCCCCGCATGGGGAGCTAGAACTGACAGAGGGAGCTCAACCTGCTCTCCCTGGATTCGAAGCACTGACCTGTCGGTCAGCAGTCCTGCCAGCACAAGGGTTTAACCCATTGCGCCACCAGGGGCTTGCAGTTTCTCAAGTCGCTCCTGATACAAAAAAATTAAATTGTTTGTTGGTACTGAGTTTGGATTTCCAGCTTAAATTTCTCCATACTTCTCAGAGTGAAGCAAGGATCAATCTACTTAAATTGCCCACTTAGATTTACTTTCCGCTCTAATCCAGCACCAACTGTGTGTATATGAACTGGTTATCTTTCAGATGCACAACAAGTAGAAGCAATAAATAGTTTTTTGTGCAAGGAAAAAAGCCCATCTTGGTGTAGAGCCAGTCTTTGAGGCTTTAACTTTTAGAATGTTGGCACAATTAGGCATTTCATCTGATTGAGCATGGATTTTTAAACTCATTTCAGGCCCAAATAACCTCACCTGTAGCCCTTCTCTGACAGCCTCAAGAAGATAGGGAACGATTGAGTAGTTCCAAAGGTCAGTAAACCAAACCCTAGAACCATCCACATCTATAGGGCATGAGAGAAAGAGCCGTGGACCTACAAGAAGAAGAAAAAGAAGAAAATTACCCACAGAATATATGTGGTGAGTGCAGCTTATGGCAGTCATTTTAAGCACAACATCAAGTATGGAATGACAAGGGGAGGAGGAAATGAAAAAAGAAAGGGAGACAGGAGAAAGAAACTCTTATCAGAGAACATGTGAGTCCACAACAAAGGAATCAGTTAATACCATTTAATACTAAAGAGACACATGTGTATAAAGTGACCGTGGCAGCTTGGAGTGGAAATGCATTTTAAAATGAGTTATTTCAATAACCCAGAGGCTGCCTGAGAAGCTCACTTTAAATGTTTTGACCAATTCCATGCAGTATGCCATGAAAGAAAAAAAATGCCCAAGATCTTCTGCAGACCTGAAGAAATTGACGACTCTACAGAGTACTGTCTGAGAAATAATCCTGAGTTCTTACCAATAGTAACGTCCGAAGAACTATGAGCCTCCAAGAACTTGTTGAGATGTTGCCAGACTTTAGGGATCCAATCTATGATCTTGACCAATTCTGCATTTCTCATCCGGCCACCAATTTCTGTTTCAAGGAGCTTCCTTCTCAAGAAACGACCAAGAAACCCCTTGACTGGCTCAGTGTGGTTGGCGCACAGAACCCATCTGAAGTTGTGATGGAGCTGAAGGTTGGGTGTCGAGGATGTTGCCTGGTTCATTGTTCCAATAATATAGGGACTAGTGGAAACCAATTTGTAAGTTTTTTAAAAAAGCCAAGAGAGAGAACATTTAGCCTTTTCCTCACGACCACTGAGATGTGAATGAATGTAGTTAACCCATTTCAATAGTAGCTGAGTTTATTTATCTCATTTTTACCCCACTTTTCTCACCCAAGGGGACTCAAGGCAGCTTATGGCTCCGTAAAGAATTCAATGCCCGTAAAAACCAACAATAAACAGTAAAAACATATCCCACAGTCAAAATGATTATAGCTTTTACTCGCCAAAATATATAATCTTCCAATCTCATTTAGAGATCTAATTTGTATTCACTAAAGGCACCCGTCTCTTTAAAGTGCATGGAAGTTTGTGAAATTATGAAATGTTTCACAAGAGATTATCCACTTTTCACACAGAAGGTTGAAAAAAGTATAGAAACTGTGAAGGGAATGAGTTTTATTGGAGGAATTCTTCATCCACAGCAGTGGTTGTCAACCTGTGGGTCCCCAGATCTAGAGCTATGGAAGAGTGAGGGGATCAGGTGAGATTGCTAGGCAAGCAGGGAATTTGAGAAATTAGACCCAAAATGGCAAAAGGCACAGCAGAGTGTTAATTTGCCCCACATATGGTGGCAGTGCTCCCAAATCCTCTAGTACAGTGATTCTCAACCTGTGGGTTCCCAGGTGTTTCAGCCTACAACTTCCAGAAATCCCAGTCAGTTTACCAGCTGCTAGGAATTCTGGGAGTTGAAGGCCAAAACATCTGGGGACACACAGGTTGAGAACCACTGCTCTAGTATATAATGGCAAGATAATATTTTTACTGCTACACCAGTTCCATTATGTCTAAACAAAGGCTTCTCAAATGTATTATAAATAAGTTTGTATTTGAAGGAAGGTTAAAATTGTTTAATTGGAATGGAGGCAATTTATCCATGGTTGATTGGTGGGCAAAAACATGGGACTCGTTTCTTATGGAGAAATTGCCACATGCCATAGGGGCAGCTAAAGGGTCAGGACTTGTTTCCCTTCATAGACTCAACAAATGTGTAGCCTCTTTTGCACACTCATCTTCTCATCAACTGGCCTTTTGGAAAGATACTAAAACTGAAATATAAAATGTGATTATGGATGGCATGGTTTTAATAATGAACGTAATGTTTTTAAATGTTTAATATTTATTGATTGTAATTTTAATGTTCATTGGGATTTTATGTCACTCAAAGGCATTGAAAATTTCCATCATGTAAGCTGCCTTTATGTAAGCTTCATGTAATTGCCATCATGTAAGCTGCCATCATGTAATCTCCCTTCGGGGTTGAGAAAGTTGTGTGAGTTTAAATACTTCCTTGCTATAATTTCAGGGACAATTAACATGGCAACATAAGATGCTAATTCTAAATTTTAAGAATAGTTGGGACTGATGTACCACACAGCACATCTCTGAATGCAAAGAACTAATTTGCAGAATAGTTATCTTGGATCAATTGAATATATATCTGTATTCTCTACTCAGTCATACAATGTCCAGAGGAAAGGGTATAAATAGGGCAAATAAATAAATAAATAAATAAATAAATGTGACACCTTTTTATTGATGAACTGTTATATGTGATTGCATCCCATTTGTTAGGTTGTTCAGTTGTTTAATTTTATTATGCTTGTTGTGAATGAATTTGCAAATTACAATAACTCTGTAAAAACAATTCAACAACCATGGGACAAAAGTCATGTCTAACTTTTCACAGTCATTTCATTGGGACAGATCTAGATAATGTAATTTGGAATATAACATGTTTATTACCATTTGTGGTACTTGCAGTTCAAAAGACCATTGAAGATCTCTCCCAGGGAGCTAACGTGGTGCAAATTGTCCAAGATGATCACCAAAGGCATGTCCACAGCATTGTTTTCACTATTGCATTGGTCAGCGAGGTGGGAAAGATATTGACGGAGTTCCTGTGATGTAGGTGAGAAAGAGAGAAATTGGCTTTCAGTTAATTCTTTAGTAGATTCCAGGGGATATGAGAACAGTCATAGTAAACCACAAAGACATAAAAAATACAAATTTGAATAGAATTTAAAATTACAGCTGAGGCAAACTTGGTATCTTGTTTTTTAAAAATGACTGTTGTTCCCCATGTAATGATTTTCAAGAATGAGACTGTATCTTCAGGCCTACTTTGACCAAATTACTGAATGAGGTATGGTTTCTGAAGAGGAAATGGAGCAAGGAGCACACAAAGCAGCAACTAAATGCCAGAATGACAAGTCTGTCAGTTCCAGGGACTTTGTTGTAGACTTTGTGGAGACAAATGTAGTCTTACAAAAAACAGTGACGGAGTCTCCAAATGACTAGTAATCAAGTGGCATTCGTTTCTCACCAGATGGCACTTCTCTTTGACTATAGGTTTGCTTTAGGTCACATGAGCAGAATTTCCAGCACACTCTTCAAGCAAAATGTAGCCCCCCACATCCCCTGGCCAGGTCAAAGAATAAGAAGGCCTTGCTTGAAGAGTGTGCTAGCATTTCTTCTTAATTTACTGTCCTGGTTTTAGAGTTTTTTTAATTCTAAACTCTTGGCAGGAAGCAGCCAAGCCCTGAAGCTGCAAGGCTATTCAAAGATGATCAATTGCAACATTCATACTTGCCTCAAACAGACAAGAGTTCTTTCTCCCACCCTGGACATTTTACGGATATATAAACCCCACTTGTCTTGCTTCCAACAAACCTCACACCCTCTGAGGATGCCTGCCATAGATGTGGGTGAAACATCAGGAGAGAATGCTTCTGGAACATGGCTAGACAGCCCGAATAATTCACAGCAACCCAGTTTAAACAGCATTTGATTTTGGTATTCTTACCTTACTAGACTTGTGATCCACATTAAAAGTTGCAATAGCACCATCAGCCAGCTCCCTGCCTTCTCTAAGTACCATATACTCTGACAGACGATTGGCTAAGTATGTCTTTCCTGTGCCACTCGGACCAGACAAAATGATTCTCCTATGTTCCACCAACAGTGACACGTAACGCTGTAATATAGGCTTTGGGATCAGAGATTCAAACACCAGGCAGTCCAAACTATTTTCTGTGATACCTGGATAAATAAAAAGAGCACATGTATTACTAAAACTATTTGAAGGTATCTTTGAACAATGTTAAGGATTGTAATTTCAATGTTTTAAGGTTTTTAAACACCAGGAACTTCCATAGCTATGGAACATGGGAGCAACAATAACATGCCTAAGAGGAGACAAAATAATTACAAAGCAAATGCATTTGATGTGCATGGTTTGTAACATTTTTATTAAGCAAAACATTTCAAAGGAGTTATTATAGCCTTCAATGAAAGAAAATCAATAAAACATAATCTTGAAATCAGGGCAAACTCTCTGAATTTCCCCATCACAAGCCTTGTCAAAGTGGTTGTAAGTATTGAAGTATTGTTCCTTAAAACAAAAAACTCACTCTCTGCTTAAAAGAAGAAATAAATCTTCCCTTCTCTCACAAAGTTTGCCTTCTACTTGAAGTGGAGTGGAAGAAAGGAGATAAAATACACAGATTTCTCTTCTATATCCAGTTTGCTAGCAAGTACTTAGCAGAAGTGGTGATTTGATGGCCAGTGAATTATTATCTAGAACACTATGTAAGTAATACATTTTCTGCTTGCTTTGACATATAAAGAATGTCTTCAATTTGGGTCCAATGAATAGTTCAGAAATGTAAGAGTGTTCATTTTTTTTTACAGATATTGCAAGATGACTGGTAAATATGAAAATTTACATACAGACATAGAGAATATTGACAAAAGATATGCTATATATTGATCAAATCTGGACACAGGCATTAGTTTCACATTGTTTCAATGATGTCCCCAAGTGGGACATATGTATGTAGACTGGCAATTATGCTCACCCCTTTACTGTGGGCTCCTCATAGGCAACTGAGAATGCTGGACCATGTGTTTAAATATCTAAGTATGCTGCTGAGGTCGTTTGCACTCACCCCAACTTCACTTGGAGGCTATGCATGTTGACTATGCCAGCTGCAAAACCTCATTTTCATGCTGCTAGACTGTGCATGATTATCGTGTAAATATATTCAACTACTGTTTATGCGCATTTCCCGCTATGCTAACATTGACCATTATCCCATCAACAAACAAGATAGTTTTGTCCTTTCTGAAATACTAAACTGAATCAGAGACTGGCAATAACATGTTAGAGCAGGCATGGGCAAACTTTGCCCCCCCCCCTTTTGTTTTGGACTTCCAACTCCCAGAAATCCCAGTCAGCTTATTGGCTGTTAGGAATTATGGGACTTGAAGTCCAAAACATCTGGAGAGCCAATGTTTGCCCATACCTGTGTTATTGCTTAATGTTGTCACAGACAATATACCTTTTACTGTGATAGTAAAAGCAAATGATAGGGCTTTTATATAGCGAATAATCAGTAAAGTTGTTACATTTATGGTGAAAAAAGCAAATGTTGAATACTTAATTCCAAAATATTGCTTTGTGGATCATTTGAGAGAGTTTTTAAGGCTAATCAAAAATAATTGTCACATAATGTAGCCCATGAGTTACTTTCCTAAATTCAGTGCTAACACAATTCACTCTTTAAATTAACTGCAACAGAAAAAGTGGAGTCTGAAACAAAATGCTGCAGCCGAGTGCTCCTGTTTAAATTTTAGCTCAGGCATGGGCAAACTTCGGCCCTCCATGTGTTTTGGGCTTTAACTCCCACAATTCCCAACAGCCTATTCTAGTCAGTCAGAAATTCTATGCTATTCCAGTGACCCTTTTCAGATTTTTCCCCAAGTGAAACATAAATTGCCATGGTACACATCATGGTGAGTTTTTGGTTCCTTAAGGTGTCTTTTAAAAATGTTCATTTGTATTTCTGCAAACCTTAGTGATGTGTTAAGTATGCAGCTTTTTAGTAGCAGCATTTTGGCTACATAGCAATCACCACTCAACAATTAAATGTGCATTTAAAGCCAGCAATACCTTTTCTGGCAAAGGCACTTCCACAGGAGAACACTTCTGCAGTGTCAGCAAGCACAGCTGACTGATTCCGAAAACAAAGCCAGCAATTTTAAAATGCAAGCAGACGGAATGCGAGTTGAGAGATTACATGAAAATGGAGTGTTTAATGCCCATACTACTAGGAATCAAGATTAGACCTTTGTATGAACAGCTGTATATCTGGAAGGTGTAAATGTTTTATCAACTCACCACAAAATGAATGAAAGAGGGCTTCTGTCTTAGAATAATATCTGTGTCATATGCTGAGTCTTAAAGTCGAGAATGAGCTTTACATGGGTTTTTTGTTTTAGATCCTACATACTCTTAAATAGCACCAGGTGCTATAGAAGGCAGTGAGTTCAAGAAAAACATTCTGATATTCACTCAGTAATGAGGCAGAACCAGAAAAGTGAACATTTCCTTTCCATTTGTTGAACATGGTTGGCTCTCCCACAGTCAGTCATTTGAGAATCCAATCAATGGAGCCAGAACTACTTGGGAGCACTTCTCAATTACTTAGTTATCTCATCTTGCTGTCATGATAGCTCCTTGGATTGAAAAGAGGATTGGGCTAGGGATTTTCCCTTTCCTTTGCAGGCTTCTCTCTGTCTCTTTGAGATATAATGAATGACAGAAGAGCTGGGGGAAGTTACACAATGCAATAGGTGTATGGTCTCCACATAGAAGAAAATAGCAGTATTCTGTTTTAATTTTGGGCATTACAATTCAAGTAAGATATTGACAATCTGGAATGTGCCCAGAGAAGGGTAGCCAAAATAATCAGAGGTCAGGAAACCAACACTTATGAGGAAAGACTTGGGGATTTGGGCATGTTTAGCTTGTAGAAAAGACAATTGAGATGTGACATGATAGCTATCTTCAAATATATGAATGGGTGTCATGCAGAAGATGGAGAAAGATAAGAATATGAACCAATGGATTCAAATTGTGAGAAAATAGATGCCACCTAAACTTTAAGAATAACGTGTGTTACTGTAATTACTGTTTGCAAGTGGAACAGACTGCCTCAAAGATTGGTAAACTTTCCATCTCTGGAGGTTTTCAATTAAAGATTATATATCTTTCAGGAATGCTGTAGTTGTGTTATTTCTACATGGCAAGATTATCCATTCTTCTAACTCTAAGATTCTATTATTCTAGGTAGGAATCCACTCATACAATACTGCAATTCACCATCTATTAGGGTTTCCAAATTTTCAAAATATCAATAAAGGCCTCAAAACTGGCCATTCATATATAAAGTTGGCCTCAAGTCCCACAAAAAGGTTCTAACACAGTGGTGCTCAACCTGTGGGTCTCCAGATGCTTTGGCCTTCAACTCCCAGAAATCCTAACAGCTGGTAAATTGGCTGAGATTTCTGGGAGTTGTAGACCAAAACCCCTTGGGACACACAGGTTGAGAACGACTGCTCTAACATATCTATAAGTGTATGTGTATATGTATATGCACACACACACACACACACACACACACACACACAACTAGTCATCTGTGTGTATGTGTTTGGTGTGCATATATATGTGTGTATATTTGTATATATGTGGTTTTGTGCATGCATTGTAATGTATTTTGGGGGGCCTTTTAAGTCTCTTCCACTGTGTTTTTCAGTGTTTTATGAGTGATGGTCACTCGTTGGCCTGATAGCAGTATTCTGTCCAAATTTCGTGTCCATTTGCCCAGTGGTTTTTGAGTTATGTTAATCCCACAAACTTGATTGATATAGATATATTTAATTTTCTTGTCCCCTGTTGGATCGTTACTTGTCGGGAGTCGTATACTCCAAGCAGGGTCACCCATTGCAACAATGTCACAGGGGCGGAACCAGACAAGAAACTATCCAAGAAAGTCGTAAATGACACAACAGGCTGATAATATCATGGCACGCGTTACAATGGCTGTGAAGGCAGGTGAAGGCTGCAACAAATAAGATGAAAGCTGCAACAGATCATCATGATATTCATGCAATTAGATTAGAACCTTTTTCTTTGAAGACTGAGTGTTGGTTGCTGTGCACCAATCCTCATACATAAAACAAATTCATGCACAAACATCTTTCAAGCAATCCAAAACCAACAAAAGTCCGATGGCAAGTGGTGACAGAGGTAGGACTGTGAAATCTGGAATTCCCTAGTTATGGACTGGCCTATGGATGTGGATGTAGATATGGATTCAGTCGTTCTAACTTGAGATCTGAAGAATTTGCTGATGATAATGTAATCTGTGGTCATTCCGAGGAAAACCAACAAGCCACTTTAAACACCTTCACAGAAGCAAATGAAAATCTTGGCCTTTCACTTAGCATTAAAAAAACCCAAAATGTTCGACCAACAGGCACAAACCAATCTGTCTGCAATGCCAGCAATACAGCTTAATGGTGTAATGCTAGAAAATGTTGAGCGTTTCCGCTACCTTGGCAGCTATCTCTTCATAAAACTCAACATTGATGCTGAAATACAACACTGTCTGAGCTCTGTGAGCACAGCATTCTTTCAAATGAAGCATAGTTTGAGGATTGGGACATTCGCAGAGATACCAAGATGCTTGTTTATAAAGCAAATGCACTGGTCAACATAAATTTTTGTGCCTCAAAGGTTAGACTTGCTTCTCAGTATATTTGAGCTGCTGATTCCAAAAATGGCGTTTTTTGGGATGGAAGGGGGAAGTTGAATACTCTATGTACAGACTCCGTTATCTACAGTGGTTCAAGCCAACCAAATGTTCTCAATGGGGAATATATTAGGCAGGAATGTGGCTGCATTTCAAACTGCTTACCAATAATAATATGTAACTTAAAAAGATAAAAAATAGAAAGGAAGAAAGTTCATTAAACATTGTTTTGTTTCTCTGAGTTTCTTTTAATGCTGAAGCATCATAAGACATGCAATTGCAAGATGGTGGAATAAACAGATCACCTATAATTTACCTTTGATAGTCACAGAGATAGTGTTGTTTTCACCAACTAGATAGCCACAGGGCAGAAGCTCAGGTGTTTCTGAGCCATTTGTGCGAATGATTTCCCCAATGCTGTATCCCAGGACACTGTCTGAATTTAACCCCAGCTGATTTACAGGATCTACATGTATGATGTATTCCTATGAAGGGAAAACAGATAATAAGTACATAAAAAGAAAGTAAATACAGGTCTTTAAGACAATCAAGTGTTTTTTCTACCTTCTTGATGAAGACATTGTATGACAAAATACAATCGAAAAAAGAAAACCAAATCCACTACCCATTTTAGTTCAAACTGATGTTTTGTTTTCCTTTGATATGTTGCAATCAAATAATAAAATCATAGCAGAACAACAATTTAAAACATAGACCACACACAATACATAACAATCTCTCATGAATATATATATTATTAATCACATAAACATGGACTCATGGAAAAAAAACCACTGCTTAATATTCGTGTGCTATTGTTTAGCATGCAGGCACAGTTTAAGTAAACTAAGTCCTAGGGAAATCTCCATTTAAGCTTTACTTTTTAACATTATGTCCTTAGATACTATCAATGCCAGCAAAGTCAATAGTGCTTATCAATGAAACTAAGAAGGGCTTGTTAGCGTTGTTTGAATTCTGAATCAAATTAAATTCTTCAAAAGAAGCATCACAACAACTTTCAAAGAAATGTTACGAATAAGAGGGAAAAATAACCCTAATTACCTTAAAAAGCCTTCTAACAACTCCATCCAGGACGTCCCATTTGGTTTTTCCACTGACTCCTATGCAGCCAATGAGAAACAAGCGGGGCCGAGAATCCTAAAAAAATAAAATAAAAAAAACGTGTAAAATGAAGGCTAGACTTACTGCCTATGCTCTCCAGACAACGGAAAATACTTTACTATGATCTATCAGTCATTGTGGAGCAAATATCTGAGCTGAAACCCACAATATTGTTTTTAAATGTTTATGTGTTTTTATTGTGTGTTTTAGCAATGTTGTAACCCGTCTCGAACCGCGAAGAGAGGTGGGTAAGAAATAACAACAACAACAACAACAACAACAATAAATCCCATATGTGTTCATCTCATCCATGTATTTCTTCTGTAACTATGAGGTTTTTTTTCTGATCAAGCACAACTGCAGGCGCCAGATAAGATGGTGCAAGGCATTGCACAGTGCTGCACAAAAGCAAAAATGTATCCCCTGTATTTTGCAGAATGGTTTACAGGGGGAAAAAACAGCAACACTGCCAGAAAGTGCCCCATTTGTGTGGTTTGTAATTATAGCACCTTGCAATGTATATGAAAGATTGTCAGTAGCCAAAGCAAGCTGCAGTAAATCAGATGCAAATATTTCTTTGCACGATTCCCCTAAATCTGGCACATGAGTTTGATTGATACACAGGTGCTTGTCTCATTGCCCTGCACCTGATCTCCATTTTGGATCAGGTTCTTTTTTTTAGGTTACTTTAAAACTAGGGAACAGGAAAGAAGCCACAAGGCATATTTAAAATTCTACATGACTGATCATGAAAATCTTGTTCCTCAAAGATTTGTGCACATTTAGTTTAATTTCTCTTTTATTCATTCCAAATTTCTAAGACAAAAACAGGTCTGGACTTCCCAGCACTTAAGACATTCACAGCTGCTGGCACTGAGTCTAGACTAGATCTGCAATCGTAGCAGTATCATCAGAAGCAGCAAAGGAAGACGATACAAGAGAAACAATCTTAACCGGAACTATGCCAGAAATAAACTTTGGAGGATGGAAACACCTAGGAAAGTACGGCTTTGTCTTTCAGTTTCTTTTGAAAACTTTGCCCACATTTGCTGTTCTAGAAGGAAAATGGTCAAGCGGTCACAGACAAAAATACATTCTTACAAAACCAAAGGTGACCAAGGAGATGTAACTGGGAAAAGGAAACATTTGGTGTCTTATACCATACATTTCAGATATTGAGGCTGTTTTCTTGCAGAATGAAAGGTTAAAATATATGGACAAACAGGCTATACTCAAAAAACAATATGGTCAACTAATTAAACCACAATTTTCTTGCCAATAAAACTACTATGTAGGCACCAGGGATATTTTAATCTGCTCTACGAGGATCATCTTATTTTTCCTAACAAAGTCTCAAACATATTTTAACTCACCTCTTTCCATTTAACTTCATCCCGAAAGCAGACAATTATTTTAACATGCCTGCCACCTTCTTTCCGAGAAGGGACATCACTGGAGTCATCCAGGAGCATATCTTTGGAGGAAAACACAAATACTCTTTTAGATACATGTAGAGAGCCAGATAGGGTAGCTCTGATGTACCTTTCTTGGGTCCCTTTCATACAGCTCTACAAAATCCCACAATGTCTGCTTTGAACTGAAATATATGACAGTGTGGACTTGCATAACCCAGTTCAAAGCCGCTAATGTGGGATTTTCTACCTTGATATTCTGGGTTATATGGCTGTGTGGAAGGGCCCTTGGTGAATATATGAAGCATTGTGTGTACTCTGTCTGAGCTTAAAATCATAATTCTCCACCAAGGAAAGTTGAAAACAGTGATACATTATGCAAATGAAGTATGCCTGTCTTGCATAAATTATTTTTTGTTGGCCACGAGGAAACAAAATAAGTTATACCAGAGCAACGAAATTTTCAGCTACAGAAAATTATTCTTTCCCTGCTTTGACTTCAGGGACTTCAACATGCATTCCTTATACATTACTTTTGTCAAGTAAAATAGTTGAGATTTTCGAATGCTTAATTTTGCGAACTCTATCAACATATCATTTTGTGAATCCATGTAAATGATAAAAATGTGAATATATGCCTCAGAACCTGAAGTGGATATCGAAGAGACGAAGTGAGTTTACAGAAAAATTAATGGTTTGTCTTGAAAAAAAATCTATTAAATGAGTGCAATTAGATGACTGAATATGATTCAGTGTAGCTAAGTCATAACTTGATTGCCATACTTCAAAGTATGTCAGAGCAGATGATATTATAATGGAAGGTTTTATTCCATCTTTTCCACTTCCACACCTAGCCCATTAGCTTTCTGTGTATTTTTTATTTATTACTGGCTACAAGACAAAACCTGCCCACTGCCCTTTCACATACTCACCAAGACTAGCTGACTCTGTGAGGTTCAGACTGTGCTGAGAGAGACCCATAGATTGCCGTGGAGAGGATGAAATGGAAACCTGAGACTGGGCCCTGCTACAGCTTCCTTGATTTTCAGACTTCAGCCGATCATTTTCTGCTTTTAGTTTCTCAATTTCACTCTGTATTAGGGAGGGAAAGAAGCAAACAACTTATGAAGGAAATGAAAAGACTTTCCAGCTATCTCCATTTTTCTCTAAGCATATATGTTGAGCTAAGGGCCTCTCTTCCTGCTGGTCTATTTTGTTCAACTGCCGCATCCCAACCACCTCAACTATCAAGACATAAAGGCTTCTCTCTGACTAACTTCTAGAGATAGACCTTCTTCTCTCTTTTACATCATCTTTGTCTTTACTAGTTAAGTAGAGGAGATTTAACATCATCATTTTCAGGTGTTCATTAGGAATTTATTTATTATTTATTTATGTACTACATTTATATACCCCTTTTCTTCCCTTAAGGAAACTCATAACCGTTTCCAACATTATAAAGGCAAAATTCAATGTCGTGCATATATGTGAAAACCCAAAGATAATAGCAAGACAATAACATATAACTATAAATTAATCTAACCAAATTAAAACATAAAGACAAAAGAACATTTAGACATAAAGCTTTCAAAATTAAACATTGATAATATAACAACATTTATATTAAAAACAACATTTATATTAAACATGATTTAAAAACAGTTATTAAAATCACACCAAACAAAATATGTGCGGAACTCCACCTACTAATAAACATAAAGAAGTAAATAGGCCAGGAGAAGCATAATCGCTGGTCCAAGGGATCAAGTACTCAATCAATATACAATCCCTAGATACATAATGTGGGGGGTCAAAAGGTCAAAATCTTTGATTGATTATAGCTGTAATCAATCCAGGTCCAGATCCAGGTATTGACCAATCCACCTGTTGGTCAACGAGCCAAAGCTAGGTGTTCCAGGGAATCAGACCCAAGGTACACATGGGCAGAAGTCAGGGTGTGGGTCTCCTGCCACTTAGGATAATGATCCTCCAGCAACACCGAAATGCTGGATACGATCCCAACAGATACATCCTCAAAGTCCCCCTTGCCAATTTATTGGACCAATCAGCATTGTCACTCCATAATCCTAGATCCAGATTCCATGTACAACACCCACAAAATTGCAACAATTAGGTAAGTAACAAGCCAAACAAAATTCTGATTAGAAGGAAGGGTGGGCTGACATTCATGAAGAGATTCAGCTCCCAACACTGAGTGGGCTGCTTATATCTCCCAGTGCTTTATTTGAGTGAAAATTAGACTCATCTTGATCCTGGCCACCACCCAGTGCTTGAATTTGATTGGCATTTTCCCCCAGTGCCTGCAAGTGCATGAGCTTCAAGGAAAGAGACACCCAGCTCAGTGCCATAGCGTCTGTTCCACCTTGGCCAGCAAACTCATCTCCTAACAAGTTGGGAAGTGTGCTTGCCAACAAGGGACACAAGATATTTTTATGATAATCTTTAATGTGAAATAGATCAGTAAAATCTGTTCATCATTTAGTTCAAATTTTCTAGTGTCATATGATAGTATTTGTATGACACAACTATTTATTATCCAACTTTACTAAATTATTTGTAAAGGTTTTTAAAAGAGGTGTGTTGACAGCATAAAACTGTACTCAACACATAATTAAGTTCCTGTGAAATTTAAGGAAGTCTCAAAGCACACTATATATCAGAGGTATATAAAAATCTGCTACTTGTGAGGGCAGTGGGGGAAGCGGTTTGTACACAGAGAAATATTTCACTAAGTTCTGACTTTTAGATTACTTTAGTTTTACTCTATTGCATGTTTATGTTTTTCAAAGTTTCTGCTTTTTATATAACTTTCATGATTTTAATACATTTTGGGTACCCCTTTGAAGAGCTATGTGGAATGAAAAGCGAGCTACAAAGTTTACAACTAAAACTAATTGATCACAACAAGGTTATACATGCCTGAAGAACCAGATTCATGAAACAGAAGTAACAGAGATAAGAATGATCTTTAATACCCATTTCCTCAAAAGAGAATTTAATTAAAGCCCTGAAGAATAAATAACAACCGCATACATGTTATGTCCACTTCAGTGATAATTTAGTGGGAAGTTAAATGACTTAAGGGGCTTTCCTTGGTATTTCCTCTGGAATGAAAAAAAAAAAAACCAACAGGAGGCAAGCACCTTGACAAAGGCACTATAATTTTAGGTTTTGCATATGTCTTTGTTGGTGGTATCTCTACAATTTTTTTCCTACCTGCATTCTGTTCATAGCTTCCCGAAGCTGGTCGAGTTGGTGGGCGGAGCTCAGAGCCTCCAGACGGATATCAGTCAGCTTCATCTCCTTGTCTCTGAGCTCATTTCGCAGCTGCATGACTGTTTCTGCTTCACTGTCAATGCAATCTGCAATCCTGTGAGCAGAATTTGTTTTTAAAAATAGAGAAGATAATGAGCCATGATACTGAAGGCATTGAACAACATAAATTTTGAAAGTTAGCACAAATTAAAGTACTACTTCCCTGTCCCAATAATATTTTTATGCGCTATGTGGGAGAGAATGGCAAAAGTTGGGACCAGTGATGAAGTCAAAAGGAAACATCATTAGAACCCATACAATGACAGATCAGAATCAAGGGCATAACGCTGCCATTCTGACTATGTGAATAATCTAGCTTTAGTTCTTAGCCTCTTGTTAGATGTAATCACTATTCTACAGCAAAACTATTCTCATTGAAAATCTCTAGTAAATCAAGGAGTTATAGTAGTTGCAGTCACTTGGGGATTGATAGCCCCAAAGAAAGATTTAGCACCTGCCAGGTGCAATGCACAGCTGGGCTTCCCTGGATAATTCTGGAGGGCTTTGGAACTCTATACCTTTTCAAACTTGAAACATCCGTCCACACTTCACACTGTTCAGACCTTTTTTTTGAAAAAAGAGCTTTATTCTTCTGGCACCAGCTTTCTTTCCCTTTGCACCCTCCTTCTTTCCACTTGAAATATAAGTTCCCTTACTTCTCAACATAAGAAAGAAAAGCACTGCTATTTTCTGCCAGTTTTTCATATCATGTGCATTCTATCAATTCCAGTTAAGTCTTCTTTCAATGGTATCCAATTCCAATTAAACAGTGAAGCAGTCACAAAACAACAAAACAAGTTGAGGAAAAACAACTCTGGAGGTGATGTTGGAGGATTTTTCTGCATTCAGGCCCTGAAATTAATTTGGTGGGGGAATTCTACATAGGAAGATATAAAGAAACAATTCTAGACAACTAGCCTATTTGGCTCCATAATAACTGACAAGAGTCATCCTACAATGTCAAGGATGGGATCTTATCTTTAGCAACAGATATACCTCTGTCAGTGAGGCAGATGTGTTCTTGGGCATCACATCTATGTCAAAAAAGGTCATCCCTGGATGTATTTTGGAAGAATAATTCAAGTGGTCTCTACAAAGTTCAAAATGTTTTTGCTTACTTATGGGAGTAAACAAAACCAACATGGAAAGCTTGCCTGATCTGGTTGTTTCATTTCACATGCGAATAAAGTCACATCCACCATATACTCATGCGTAAGTCAACCTCGTGTATAAGTCATGGGCAGTTTGGGAGATTAAAATGATGGATTTTATTATATTATCTGCAAATAAGTTGAAAGGAAAGCATCAATGCTGTCCCATGGGCCAGCCATTCCTGACTGCCACCACTTCCTCATCCAGGCACTCAAAAAGACCAGAAGCAGTGCCACTTGGAGAAGGTAGAGGAGGTCAGTGTTTTAGGTTCTTTCAGGATGGACAAAGATCTTCTCATATACCACCCTGCACAGAGAAGGGGATGGCTCCTTGTTTTGATAAGAGTTAAGGTGAACTACTCAAGGCAATAGTGAAAAGAAGGGTTTGGGGACTAAGTTAAACACGGAAAAGGGACATAATTGTTGAGCAGAGAAGACACTTGACATGAAGAAAAGGTAGGAGAAAAACTACTTATATTTGAACTTTCAGTTTCTTCTGGCTTCCGAGACATTCATGAAAAACAGAGCCTAACTTCAATACAGGTTGGGTATTCCTTATCTGAAATGCTTGGGACCACAAGTGTTCCATATTTTGGATTTTTTCTGATTTAGGAATATTTATTTATTTAGCATATTTATGTACTGCCTTTCTCACCCTTGGGAGGGACTCAAGGTGGTTTACAAAATATTAATGGCAAGAATTCAATGCCAACATACATATAATTAAAAAATCACAATAACTAAACACTGACATATAACTATTAAACACTTGCATTCACATAATGAGATCTTTGAGATTTGATCCAAGTCTAAACACAATATTAAATTAAAGTTCCATACACACCTTATACTATGCACATTATTTTTTTAATATTGTGTGCATGAAACAGTTTGTGTACACTGAACCATCAGAAAGTCAAGGTGTCATGCTTTCAGCCACCTACGTGAACAATTTTTTGAATATTTCAGATTTCAGGATTCCAAACAAGAAGTACTCAACCTGTATCTTAAACACAGGAATACTGCTTCTTTAAACTTAGAAACTCAACTCACAGAGAATTGGAATGTGAGGTTCTCAATAATGGTGTAGACACAACAGAGCCATTGTGAGGCAGTTTTGGTGATGAAGGCAGTGAATAATCTGTCATCTCCTCGATGTCAGAATGAGACGATGCTGATTTAGGAGACTTCTTTTTGCCAAAAGCTTGTTTGAAAGAACTGCGCAACTGGAAAAAAAAAGACCAAAACAAAGTAATAATGAATGAATTAATTTACAATTTACAACCAGAAATAAAGAATAGAAGGAAAAATACTTATCATGCAAAACTTTAAAATGTGATTAAATAACTACTTTTTTTCACAGTCAAATTAAGAGAAGTACAGATTTTTGTGTTCTTCTTCTGGATGTCTTTATATCCTATTTAGAAAGGATGTGCTTGATCTGCTTTAAAAGTACTGGCTGGTGGAGAAACTATTCTGAAACACATCTTCCCACTTTACCATCTTGGAAATTCTTTTCAGCTCATGGATCATGTTATTAAAAGGTTACCACATGTTGCAGTTACAAAGTGACATGGCTCAGACAAGGCAATTGATGCTGACAGTGTTAATTGTGTAAACGGGTGAGTTAGCTTTGTATTTTAGAATTTAAAATACATCTGCCTTACCTCATTAACCTGCCAGAGGAAGTGCAAGCAAAAAGGGAAGGAAAAAAAGACAAATTTTAACAGATAAAACCAGCGACAGGGAAAGCGCCAGATTTCTCAGACACACCCACCACCACCATCTCCCACAAAAGCACACACAACAAATCATTTTTGGGGGAAGGGGAGGGAGGGGAGAATATAGTTTGAAAAATCAATGTCATCTTAAGACCAAAAATGGGGATATGGATATTTTACAGAGGAGGAAGGGTGATGAACAGCTTTCAGTCTGCTTTGATTGTATGGAGCTCATCTTCAAATTTCTCCAGTATCAATCCAACATTGGATGCCGCACCAAGGTCTGGAAGTTACTGGCTATCCATCATGTGCAGTATAATCATGCTTTCAATTTAACATTTCATTCCCTTCATCATTATGCATAGGCACGACTATCATAGGAGACTGCTGTAAATCCAAACTTACAAGAGTTCTTTAAAAATTGTGTCAGAAACGACTTGAGAAACTGCAAGTTGCTTTTGGTGTGAGAGAACTGGCCCTCTGCAAGGACATTGCCTTGGGGACACACAGATGTTTTACCATCCTGTGGGAGGCTGCTCTTGTGTCCCCGCATGAGAAGCTGGGGCTGAAAGACGGGAGCTCACACCATCTTGCGGATTCGCACCGCTGACCTTCAGGTCAGCAGTCCAGCCGGCACAAGTGTTTAACCCATTGCGCCACCGAGGGCTCCACTTATAACAGTGAAATCAGTAGAATGAAATTTCATTACTCTTCCACATTACTCTTCCACATCAAGATTCAAGAAAAGCTCAGACCATAGAAGTTACCCAAATTTATAATGGAAATGACCTGCAGTGTAATCGTTGGGGTAGACAACACTTTCATGGTGAAAGCCTTAGTAAGCTGAACATGTCTATCACATTTGATAACCTAGTCTTCTTTTGAATTCTCAAAATTGTGTGCTACAGGGGACAGTCCACTTTTTGGGTAAAACACAGAATTCTAAAACTTCAAGGGACTATAGGAACTAGAGGTTTTACTTCAAACTAAAAAAAAAGCAGTGTCACTAAGGCAGACGTAATCTCACAACAAATGGGTTTTGCTATCAGGTACCTTTCCTGCAGCACATGGGACCTTGCATATAATAAATAATGAGAAATGAAGGGAAGTGAAGAACAATTATTTTTCAGGCATTGGGGTAGTATCTGTAACAGAAATTAAGTTGTGGAATGCTAATTTCATTTCTCTCTATAATGAAGCAAAAAAGAGATCTAGGGGATGATGAATGGAATTAATACTTGTTTATAAGTTAAAGCAGACTACACAAGAAACTGAAGCAGGTGTTAGCTTTTCTTTGACATTGTATGCAATTAGATTATATACAAAACATTTATCTCAGCCATGAGTACTAAACCGCAATCTATGTGTTGTTTTTTCTCATTTGATTTGCATTTAAAATGCAATTCACCCATTCCATCTTTTGTAACATAAACATTACTTTCTGACACAAATCCTTAACACACATAGTAGTACAGTTTAAATTTCCAGATTCAGGAAACAAGCAATATATTCAATAAAAACCACACATTAAATCTGTAATTGTCAACTTTCCCACTCTCTTGCTGAAATTCAGCTGCAGAATATTGCAAAACACAAGTGAAGCAGCACTGTGTGTATATGTATATAATCATTCAAACACACTCTTTGCCAGTCAAAATAATTCTACCTTACCAGGCTGCTCACTGCTCATAAAAAAACAACAACAATATAACAACAACAAACACCAGTTTTGATGATCAGTCCAATAAGATACCACAACGCAATGAACATTCCCGATTGCTCAAAGAAAATGATAGTCTTTCTAGATGAATTTCAGTGAGCAGGAAAATTGGCGATTCAATCACAGATCGTCTGTGGAAGGAATACCACAGATCTCAATCATTTTTGCTTAAGACTTCAATAAGCCCAGAGCATGAGGACACCATAATCTTTATTTATTTGATCTCTTTCTTGCCCTAATTAACTGCTTACATCAGAGATGGGAAATCTCTCTAGATACTAAGGGATTGCAGTTACCATCATCCTTCATCACTGCCTAGGTTGTCTGGGTTGACACGAGTTTCAGTCTACTGATACTTGGGAGGACAGATCATTGCCTACTCGGTTGTGTTTTGTCTCCTGTATGTTAATACGAGATATGAATTTGAAATGTTGAAACATACATACCCAGTTCTTTCTCTTCTTTTTCTTAGAATCACATTCTATGTTGCTTCCCACACTAGAATGGCTAGTAGCACTGTTAATGCTAGAGACGCTGTCAGAAGAGTGCTGTCTTCGGATCCGCAGATCAGTGGTTTGGGAAGTCCCACCTCCTAAACAATAATTTTAAGACTTGTTAAATAAATTTAGAAATTGTCCCCATCTCTCCTTCTTTATTCCTATGTACACATTATTCATTCTTTGCTCCCCCTTGCCACCATCTTCAATCACTATCTTCCTTTGTAGGAAACAACAGTCTCAGCTCATTGCCATTGTCTGTAGCACACTGAAATTTAATTTCTGCTCTGTGACTTGCTACTACCCATTAACCCAGTGATTCCCAACCTTTTCTTGACGAGAGACCACTTTGACCAGGGACCACTCTCCAACGTTAGTATCAAAAGAGCTATGGATCGATTTCGATTTGGGGTGCTGATTCAGAAAATTGCATTGGATAGACCACATCAGCTCTAGTTTCTGATACAGAACATATACCATTCAGTAGTCGCCATCTGCTCGCCCACAGAAAACCATATTTAATAAGCCTCAGAACTATAAGAGGGTTTCACGAGACTAGTCGCTCTCGTTGCACGGTGTAGTAATGGTGAGGTCATGGACCATATTTTAGTTCTTGCGGACCACTGGTGGTCCATGGACCACAGGTTAGGAACCACTGAATTAACCTAATGCCTGAAATACTTGGCAAGGAGGTGAATCCTGACTGCTGGGATTGCTAATACTGATAGTAAAAGAAGATGAATGCTGGAGAATATTCCTGACCATCAAGTAAGATAACTGCTACGATGAAAGAGGAACTGGAAGGGAGATGTGGGTAGAGACTGAGGCAAAAGGTGGAAGGAAAGAGCAGGCAGGAGGTAAGCAAGGTCAATGAGCGCCTTGTGTAACGGTCAAGCAAGAAATGTCATTACTTGTCTTTTTGGGGATAAGATTTTAAGACTTCCAACTAGAACAAGCACCTGTAAATGCATATTGTGCTTGAAGAACATTCTATTGTTAACACCACAGGGTTTTCCTGAGATATACTCTGTGAACATTGCTTTTCTCTAAAATCAAAGATAGCTTGATAATTATATATTCTGTCTCTTGCAAGAAACACTGCATCAGCTATCACCAAGGGATGAATCCCTTTAGTGTTATGCTGTTATTGAAAGTGAAGGTTCTTTGTTTCCTTTACCTTTGCAGGCAAGCTCAGGTGTGTTAATTACTCCATTAATGGCAGCCTGAGCAGCAGCATTTTGCTTCTTCAGTAGCTCAATCGTTTTTCTTAACTCATTCAGTTCTGAATCCTGAAACATACACACACACCACCACACAAAATGTTATTGCCATATTCTTGAAAGAGTGGTCAAGCAAGCATTGGATCGCTGTGTTTCACATCATTGAGAACATCCTTAAAATCATTTGGCTGAAGCCCAGTATGCCAGTTGACATTTCCGCATTCCTAGTCTGCTTTAATGTTTTTTGGTTTGCTTATGAGTTATATAATGTACTAGCTGTCCCCTGCCACGCGTTGCTGTGGCCCAGTCTGTTGATCTGGAAAATAAAGTAATGAGAAAGTGTCGGTTTCAAATATATGTAATTCCTTTTTGCTTGTGGGCAAACAGTATTTTTTGCTGTTTCTTTGTCAGTGTTGATGTGGAGAGTGTCTGGTTTGCTCACCCTGAAACATGCAACGTATCATTGTCCTTCTTTAAGGGTCCCTTTCAAATCTATGATAGTATATCTCTGTGTGAATCATATCTATCTATCTATCTATCTATCTATCTATCTATCTATCTATCTATCTATCTATCTCTATGGCTGGATGGCTCTTTGTCAGGAGGACTTTGATTACGTTTTCTTGCCCTGATGAAGAGAGTTGGATTGGATGGCCTTAAGTATTGGATGGCCCACTAGGTTATAGCCATGGTTAGGATATAAAGGGAAATCACAAGTACCAACATTGTTTCACTAACACAGGGGTGACTTGTCCGGGGCCACATGTTTCACCATTCTACACCCCAGTTTCATAGTGTATTGATATCCTTCAGGCTATTGTTGTTGATTTTCAGCCTCCCCTAAGTGTGGTATAGTCTAGCTGAAAGCTTCCAAGAATGACAATTTTAACTCGGTTGCAGTCTTATCCTTGAATGGTTTAACATTAAAAAATACCATTACTGCGACCACTATCTCCAGTCTAGAAATAGCTGCCAGTCGAGTCCATTTGATTTTCTTTTGGTATTTTTGCCAGTTGAGTCACAGGGACAAAAATTGCCCCCTCAACCAATTGCTGTTGTCTACCCCTGCAAATCAGCTAGCAGAACCACAAGGACAACTAGCACAAACAATATCAAGATAAACAAAGTTCTTTATGTGGAACACATTATATAAATCCTTTCACAAGTGGAATCAACTAATTAGATTTAAAATTTGCATAAATTTTGGATTATTTAATCTGTATTCCATCTTTATCTTAGCATGGGTAAAAATAGGGGGTGGCTAGTGGTGGAAGCCCTGAGGCAGTAGTATCACTCCCTTGGATGCAACCTGTAATACAAGCACATGCAAGAAAACAGGACTAATAGCAGCATAATATTTCATGAACATAACATATCATTATTACTCCTAAACATGGCCTGAAGATATCAACTGGTGTTGTGCTGCTCAAATAAAGCAGGTCTGTTCTTGTAAATTTTTGAACCGAATGACCACTTGGGAACCATGGGAAATCAGTTCGGGACTCTTTGCAAAAGCTTTGTGATGCAACAAAATAAATAAGTAAATGTTTTGATTTTCTGTTGTTGCCTCATTTTCTTTGTAAGTCCTATTATGTACACAAGCACAGACATGCACTTTTAAGAAAACAAAAAGGAAGGGTGGCAGTTTTTCTGAAAAGATCAGGAAAGGAAGCTATAACAACTGCAAATGTTGGGATGCTGATAAAATAAAAAAAATAAAAAATAAACTTTATTTATACCCCAACACCATCTCCCAGAGGGACTCGGGGCAGCTTACAAAGCACTCAAAGGTGCAAACGCATAAAATACAAAAAATGCAGAAACAATGACATAAAACAATAACAGTCAACATAAATATCTCACTTCACAAAACCCCCTGGTTAAAATCAGTTAAATAAGCAATAGCTGCAGGTATAAAACAACAATAATCAATCTCAGTCATGTAAAGTGCTTGGTGAAATCTATGGGTCCTAATGTATATTCATTTAAGTAATCTAAATACGGCCATAGGATTGTCAGAAGTGCCTTTAGAAAACCTAGACGTACATAATATTCAGATTTCATTTGGATGGGGAAAGCTTTATTCCCTAATTCTCAGCAACAGAAGTATAAATGATATAAATGGTCTACCACCTCTATCATTACTGACTGTTAATACATTGGCTAGGACTGAGCAGAGTTGTAGTCCAAAATATCTGGAAGATCCCAGATTAGAGAAGTACCACCTTTCCTCTTTCCACCAAGAGAAAAAGTTGTACTAGTGATTTGCATTTATGTCATGTCAGCAATATGAATATGCTGACTTTATGCTCTCGGGGTTTCTTCACTCTGCAATTGGATTCCAAAGACATCATTTGCTGTCAGCTTAGTTGACAATGACAATGACAAATTAATTTTATCAAGGAGCTATATTTTTATATTTTTATAGATTTTAACTGTTTAGTATGATCAATGATGCTTGACTGACTGATGTATAACTTTTAGCCAAAGTCATTTCTTTTGTTTTCATTGTATGTGTAAATGTTTATATTTTTATGGCATTGAATGTCTGCCTTGCTTGTGTTACATTTGGAAGCCGCCCTGAATCTCTTAAGGGAGCGAGGTGTGGGCTAGAAATAAATTATTATTATTATTGACACAAAAGCACAGTATGTCACAGCAACTGAGATCTATATGATGGATTTCGTATCACAAAATCACAAGTCGAACACTTCCCAAGCATCTAGGACTGTGTGGGCTAGAAATAATTTACTACTACTACTACTACTACTACTACTATTTAGAAACTGTCATTTATGCAATTTATGTTCATGAATTTAACAACTGGACTTGCCTTCTGTTCTGCAGTCATAGTAAGGCTTTGCAGTCTAATGGTCATGTTCCCCAGACTCTGTTCAAAAGCTGCCACAAGGTGAGCCTGCAAGTTGAATAAAACAACACAGTTAAGATATTTCCTTGATACAGCATTTCCCTGGTGAAGAATTTAGAGTGGATGTCTGTGGCCATTGATTGGTGGCAATTTTTGAGGAAAGAAACATTATGATTCATGGCAGCAAAATGGTGTGGTCTCTTAAAAGGTATAATTCCTGGCATGGGGGGACCCGTGGGACAGGGACCTTGCTGGCTCTCCACATCAAGTAACTTCAGGAGCATTTATTTAGAACAGTGGTTCTCAACCTGTGGGTCCCCAGGTGTTTTGAGCTTTAATGCCCATAAATCCTAAGAGTTGGTAAACTGTCTGGGATTTCTGGAAGTTGTAGGCCAAAACACCTGGAGACCCACTTCTTCTAAACTACTGATTTAGAAGAATACCATTTACATAATGCAACTAACAATGGCAGCACAGAGCAGCACCTTTCTTCATAAGCAGCAGCACAGATAGCTGAGCGGTATCATTTTTGTAATTAGAAAGCAAGACAAAAAAGTGGTCTGACAACCTGTATTTATAATATTGTACCTGGTTGCAGCAGATGGACTCAGGCAAGAAAAAGAATGGCATGAGTGTCTCAGCCTTGGTTCAAAGTTACAGCCAATAAATCTACTCCAATAAATCTGAGCACTCTGTCATCTTGTTGCATAGCTACTTATCGGAGCAATCTGCTGATCCCAGGTATATTTAGTCATGGCAAGTTCTCTTAGGATGGCAGCTTTCAAACTGTTTTCCCCAAGCTAAGGAAAATCCACCACAGATTCTTTTGGTACAGCAAAGCTGTAGGCAGTGATTTCAGCATTATTCTCCCATCAGCAAATAGTTGCCTTATCCCTAGTAACTGTTCTCCAATTCACAGTGAAAACAACCCTAAAGAGTACGATAACACTGGGATATGTGGCTCTTACTCTCTCTGGCCCCTGTAAAAACATACCAGGCCGAATCTGTGAGAAAAATAGCAGAAAATAAAACAAGCTTAGAGCTGAATACATGTGCTATAAACCTAAAAATGTTTATTTTAAAAATACTGGAGTGAATAATTCCAATTTTAAAAGATGTGCCAGTTATTTAAAATACCAGCAAAAACTCAATTCAAATACCAGGGAGGAGGGGAATTTGGACACAGAAATGTTTGTAAATTTTATGGTGTCCATTAAGGTAACTTCTTCCTGTTACATTTAGATACTGTGGCTGTTGTGTAACAAGTCCACAGGGACAAAGAAGGTTGTTACTTGATAATTGAGAGATGGGTGTTTGTTTATTAGTTTGAATTAGAGGGAAGCCCACTTAAAGTAAACTCCTCTTTCCTGTTTGCAACCTCAGCAGAGCAGCTGGGTGAACCAAGCTGCAAGAAAAGCCTGAAAAAACCAACTGACTGGTACGTCAAGTAGAAGGGGAAGTTATAACACAATGCTGAAGAGACTCCAGAAACAATCCTACTGAAGCCTACATCCAGTGTGGAATCACAATTCCTAGTGTCTTTCAGATCACTTCAGGAGTGAGGAAGTGAAGATAAAATGCATTCTTCCCACCATCACTTCTTACCACGACTTTTCAAGTTGAACTATGTAGTGCCAGAGTTTTTCCCGTACCATAACTAAATTTTAGAGTAACATATGTTTGAGGAAACAATTCTATTGACTGAGTTTTTTTGTGTCAGAAGCAACTTAAAATCACAGAGTTGGAAGAGACCTTGTGAGCCATTTAGTCCAACTTGAGATAACTGCAAGTCGCTTCTGGTGTGAGAGAATTGGCTGTCTACAGAGATGTTGTCCATGGGACGCCCAGATGTGTTATCCTTCTCTCATGTCCCCGCATGGGAAGCTGGGGCTGACAGCTGGGAGCTCACCTCACCTCACCTCATGGATTCGAATCGCTGACCTTCAGGTCAGAAGGTCAGCTGGTTTAACCCATTGTGCCACCGCGGCTCCAATATTGTCTGAGTGATTCTTTGGTAATGAAGGAGGGAATATTTTAATTAGGTGGCATATATATATATATCCTATATTTTCTCCTTCTAAATACCCTGAGATGCTGTGATTGTATAGATGCCATTCTATACTATCCTTGTGTTAATCGTGGTTGGGATCGTTCTTCAGTCATTTGGAATGACTGAGGTTTGGAAGCAAACCTCCCTGTACTTAAATAGGTTGCCTCCCAAACAGCAAACATGGCTGTATCTGAAAACATAATAGTTTGGTAGAATCCACAAAAGTATGTGCTCTACGGATACTAACTTTGACAGCTCAATCTCAAACTCCCTTGACTTAGCTGACAGGCTCATATAAATTATTGCAAGGCGTTGCTTATTGTGTTAACCTAATACAAATTTGCAATTTTTTATTGCCACTTGGAGTGAAGTTTGGGAAAACTCAACACATGGTGGAAATAGTCTCCCCACCCCCTAGAGTCTGGGGGGGGGGGGGGGAGAGACTGGAAAAAAAAGTGTTTTTGACCTTAAAGTCCTGAAAACAGCCTGGGAGTCCTATGATGCCCTGGGACACACTTCGCTTACCCTGATCTAAATCTTCTCTAATACAGTTCCCTGCCTATACTGTAGCTCAACTGGACATGTAAAACTGCTTGCACAAGAATAATGGTATTGTATGTCAACTTTACAAAAACTCAAAAAGCAGATAGATAGTGAAATTAGCCCTGCACCAACACAGTGACATTGCAATTCACCGTTTAGAAAGCAATAAATTAATTTCTATTTTTTAAAAATAGAAACAGTATTTGAAAATCCTGATGTAACCCTATTTTCCAGTAAAAAAAAAAGTTTTTCCTCCTGTCTACATTGTACTCACATTGGCAGTCAATTGTGTTGTCAGAGCCGAGACTTTTTCCTGGGACGCATCCAACTCCCTCCTCAACTTGCGGATCTAAACGCAAAATTTCAAAATATTGTTTTGAAAATACTAATATAGAAAATTAAAATTACATGAAACAGGGTTAATGCGCAGAACAAGACTGAAATGCCAGAAATGTTAAAAAAATGACATCATCATCAGACATAAAGATGCTTTAGAGGAAGAAGAAGAATACAGTATGTGGAAAACTAAAAAACAATATTTGGATCAAATTCAAAACACCAGACATGGCACAGGTTAGTTATGGCTTAAAGAACTACCATTGTTGTAATAAAAACACAATGCAGTACAAATAATATATTTCAAATTGGGGCATCAATCTTATGGAATCCTTTTCTGTTGTATCTATATTACTAGTGGTTTCAGAAGGAAAAGTCAAGCTGAACTTCCTTCCTTTAGTTCTTGCATGCAAGAGTTGTCAAAGCCAATAGTTTCAAAACCAAAAGATAAGTGTGCAAATCAATGTGTGCATCCAGAAATGGCTAAACCCTCCTGGCCCTGATCTGATGATTGAATATGTAGCAATCTCAGCAAGCACTCAAAATATGAAGACCCTAATGCAACATGTGTCACAACAGTAGAGAATCATGAAAGATGTATAATACTACAATAAACTCTCTTTTCGGAATATAGTGAATAAACCCTATTTCTTTTTCTTACCTGACATAGGGCCAGTTGCTGCTAATTATACCCAAGACATGCTTTTGAAATACTTACTTGAACTCAACCAATTTAATTGGAGTTTTTTTTAAAATTTACCAATAGTTTTTTCCATTGAATGAAATGTTTACATTGGAAGATGGGGAAGATGGGGGAGAAATTACAAAACATGGCCCTCAAGTATCTACTCACAACAGGTTGGGGTCAAAATCAATGAATACATCAATGTGATAAGAGTTTACACACACATTGGACTTATGCCATCCTTTGAAATAAACACTACTCTATATGTGAGAAACCTGATGGCATTGACAAAGTGAGAAGTGAGAAGTACACAAACACAAATATATGATTCAAAAGGATTCTGCATTTGAATCGCCGAGTGTTACAAAAGCCAGTAGTATTATTCCCTTAAAAATTTCAAATACGGAATAAAAAAGTATCCATCAACAAAGGGGAAGCTATTAATAGTATTTTTCCTTACCTCTGATTGACATTTTTCTTCAGGCTAGAAAAAAAGGAAAAAGCATTAGCATGAAATACATAATTAAGATCAGTTTCATTTTTGAACCTGTTGACAACTTGGAGCATATTCTCAATTAATCTAGCAATTTTTAAATTCTTTCCCATTTATTTTGTCATGTGTTCTTCAGTTTCTGACCACGTTCAGCCCTAAGGCAGATTTGCTCAAAAGGCAATTTGCCTGAATTTAATAGTTTTAATACTTTCAGGTAAGCTGATAGAAGGTTGAAGTCAAAACTATTACACTATCCTCTGAATGCTTCAATGTACATTAAACAATGTACATTGCAACCTACAGCTTTTATGACTTGGAAATAAAAACATTTCAAGAAAAAATCAAAGCAGTACAAGTAAACAACAAGATTGGCCTATTATCCCAAGTATATGTGAAAAATAAATGCAGCTGTCGCAAGCCAACTCAGTCTCAAATTCCAAAGTAGCTTCCAAAAGTTTGAAGCTACAATAATAATAATAACAACAAAAACAACAATAACTTTATTTATAACCCATCCTATCTCTAGAAATGGTTTTTAGTGTGGCTTAATTTTGTAGATTGTGCCTCATTCTGAGGAGAAAGATTGATAGTTCTATTGTATGACACTCACCGTTGAATAAATAGATGATGTACTCGAAACCAATGAAAGAGAGGAGCCATGCACTAAAGGAAACATAAAGGTAATACATTACTTGTCTGACTGTGTAAGTGTAGCTTCTCAGTACAGATGTTTCTAGGAATTTTAATATTTTAAAATCAGTCTATTTTTTAAAAAATGCATCACTAGTCATGAACATATTTACTCAAAACAAATCTTGCAGAAGTACCAAGAAGTAAGCTGAAATAAATGGGAGCATTATACAAAACATACCCAAAAATGGTCTCAAATAAAGCTTTTAAAAAATTATTGTTTGTCTGCCGGTTATGTCCGAAACATTGCAACGTCATGATAGCGCATGAAAAATGCAACAGAAGATGACGAGAAGCAGACAAAGTAAAGGTTAAACTGACCAGTCCAGTTTCACCATATGGTTGGCCTGAAGCATAAACAGCAAAAGGGAATTAAAAGACTTCATAAATAAAGGAGACCGAATATTTTGATGTGAATAATATAGACAAAAACTCAATTAAGATTTCAGTTAGCAAAGTAAGAGGGAAAAAACACTGGTTATATTTTAGCAATTCCTCAATGGTAGGGATGGGAACCCAGTGCCCCTCCAGATCCTTTCAAAATAATAAAGAAAGTTTCCCTATGAGGCAACAAGACATGGGATGTCCTTCTTAAATATCCTGTATTAGTATCTAAATTGCCAAGAGGCAAAAGTGATATCCCAGTTTCTTTCACACACATAGAGAGCAGGGTTTGTGGTGGACTCCAGAACTCGACAATGTAATAGACTGCTGTCATTGCTGTGAAAATCACAGTAATTTGTCTCAGAGCAGTCATGTGAACCCTAGCTTTCTGCAATGCTTGCTTGTTTGTTTATAAAACGTAGTTACACATAACCAGGTTTTTCACAAGCATACCAAGAATACAGATAGTATGTCAAACATTTATTTGAATAAATGATCTAATTTTTCTTACAGTTTTTAATGTTAGTAGCACATTTCTTTATCTTTTTTTATAATTGTGTCAGAAATGACTTGAGAAACTGCAAGTCGCTTCGGGTGTAAGAGAATTGGCCATATGCAAGGACGTTGCCCAGGGGATGCCCGGATGTGTTACCATCCTGTGTAAGGCTTCTCTCATGTCCCCACATGGGAAGCTGGGGCTGACAGCTGAGAGTTCATGGATTCAAACTGCCGACCTTCAAGTCTTCAGGTCAGCAGTTTAGCCAGCACAAGGGTTTAACCCATTGGGCCACTGCAGCTCCCTCTCTTTCAGTGTGACCACAATAAACAATGTAAATATCATAAAACAATTATTCTTTCCTCTAAAACGGCACTAAATTCTCATTAAAATAAGATAAAGTAAGAATGTGTAAAATTTCTAGAAGAAATTAATATTCCACCCAAAAAGATTAACTGCACTGAAATAGAAATGAGGTTTTAAAACAACACCCCGGCATTATTAAATAATTAATTTCATATAACAATTGAGCATGAAGCAGTTACTTAATATGCACCTTTTCCAAGAAAGGCCAGTCGATAATATGTAAGTTTTTTTTTTGGGGGGGGGGGGGGGGGAATCCCCGAATTACCATGTATTTTGGAGTAAACATTCCATAACCCTAATCCTTTACCACTGACCATGTTGACTGTGATTATATAATATTATAATATTGTTCTTCACAGACTCAGTTCAATAGTATCAACAAATCTACTCCTTCAGCCAAAACTATATGTTAATGCTTCAATTTCTATAATTCAAATAAGCTTCCATGAAAGATTTTCAGCTAATTTAAAAGTTATCCAGGAAAACAGATTTGATTATTATTATAATCTCAATGTAACAAAATGGCCCTGTTTAATGTCTTTTACATTCATTAAATACCAAGAATATTTGGTAACCTCTAAGTTGAACAAAATGTTTGCTATGTCTGCAAAACTGAATACCAACTGTATTGTTTCTGCAGAACTGCATTTAAATTGCTACATTTTAGGGTCAATAGTATATTTGGCAGAATAAACATTTCATACATTTTGTTCTATATCCTATATGTTTTTCTTTCTGTTAAAGATATAATCACACTATCACTGGGGGGATTTATATAGTTTTAAATAGAGTAAAACCTTAATTTATTGATACTGTGATTTGGAGAAAAGAGCAAAAAAAGAAAATTGTACTGAATTCTTTAATGATTTTTATAGTTCAACATGAATGCCAAGAGCTAATTTAAGAGTTTAGCTTTACTCCATCATACTAAAATCTCTGATTATTTTCCTTTGTTTAATGTGGTACACAGCAGTGTTATAGCCTGTCGTAGATGTTACTGAAATCGATGCCTTTCTGATCACTGTGGGTAATAAACACAGTTTTTAACCTAGGGGAAGAAGATCTTAATTTGAAACAGGAAATTATTTCATCTGTACTAATTTTCAAGGCATTATTGTTGGTTCAAAGAAAAGACCTCAAAATCTGCTATCCCATTTGTGACTCTCTGCAAAAAAAAATATGTTGCTTTCCAAAATCAGACACACATACATTCTACATTTGACTGATATTACGTGAGGAGAAAAACCTAAACTTTGGAAAGGAAACATATATTTTTGGTCAAATTAGGGAAGTGCTCTCTGGAACTTATAGAAGCACTAAACCAAGCAAAGAAAAAGACTGTGAAAGGTTCTAAGAGTATTGCATCATTAAAGAAGGAAGCAATTAGCATTGGTGGGTGGTTGCTTCTATCTCAATTGAGCTATCCAAGGTGCTGGAACATTGAGCATAGATTTTGGCACCTTGGACAGTTCCTTCAAGAATGAATTAAAACTAGACTAGATCCATCATCCTCTGATATGGAAGCAACCAATTTCCACTGACATAGGGAATTCAATATATGGAAGGTGGCTACATTAGAAATGAAGATGTAATCAGGTATTTGTCCACTGAAGGAGTGATATTATGTATTGCTGTAGTCGGAAACAAGGATATATTTAAATGGGAACTGTAACAGGGTATTTCATAATATTTAAGCTCTTAAAAATCAAGGCACTGAATGCTGAAATAGTCTAAGGTTATTTTACATCACATTTCAGTTAAAACAAAATACAAAAAAAAAAAAAAAACCTGGTTGCCATTTTGTATTTCCTTTGTTTTAAAATTTCTTGAATGTAGCATCTATTGTATTAACTAGATTTTATATACTTTGTTTCTATTTTTACAGTTTTATTAAAAATGAACAAATAGATACAAACAAAATCAACATTAATTAACGCTAGATGTTGGTTAACATTTCAAAAATTTTAATTATTTTCTTCCATGCCTTATTTCAGCTATATATTTCAAAAATATCATACTTAATATAACCTTTGAACAAGATTTCCACTTACCCTCTTCAAAGCCATCCCGGAATGACCCAGAACGGCTCATTGTCCTGCTCTTTTCATCCAGGGACATTGAGCTGTTCCGGAACCGGGAATCACTGTAAGGATCATAAGGGCCATCTGGATTAGAGAGGCTGTGTGTCCGGAGCATGGTTGGGTTCGACAAGCTCATCTGGGCTGCTGTGGTGGGGCTTGCTAGAATGCAAGGCAAACACAGAACATTCACAAATCTACGAAAATACAATTTCTACTATATCAATATATGCTCATCTCTCTCTGAAAATCCTTTTAAAACAAGAATTGGATCAATTCAATGACTGTGCAACTTAAGACAAAAATATAATTTCAGTACATATACAGAAATCTAGGGGAAATCTAATGAATATTGGCCTAGAATACTGCATGCTGGCTTTCTTACTGTTGATCTCATTTCCACAAATTTGCCCATCCCTTTCATTTTTAGGATCCAGCTAATTTATTTATTTACTGACATTTTCTAAGAGAAGAAAAATTCAGCAGAAATCCATCAGCAGAAATGGATCTAGCATGGGTAAATAAGATATCCAATAGGATAAATACATTGAACCCTACTGTTTGTCATAGGAGTGGCATATTCTCACTTCTGTATGTCCCCAGACACCCTTAAAAACTCCTCAGGGCATTTTAGGATGCAGAGGGGATATGTAAGAGGAAAGACCTTCATTAATTCTGGCCAAAACAGTTAAATGCCCAACTGAATTTTAACTCTGAGATGTAGCCTACAGTTCAGGCAGGAGAGTGGTATTGTACAGTACCAAACAATTTGGACTCTGGACTGTTAAGCCATGAAGTAGGATCTCATGCAGATGGCCAAATTAAAAATTATGGAACAACTTTGATCTTCTAACTATGGTATACTTATATGTAATTTCCCTTGTGAATTTTTGCCTCATTTCCCTTAAAAACCTGAAGAGTGCCTATGCAATCTATTCTGAGCAATGAAATCTGAAATACTACAATACACTGAAGGAATGTAAAGTCCCACCAAATGCAACTAAGTCTCCTGCCCCATCCCTATGCACTAGACCTACTTGTCCAATGGTTACCCTTCTCCAATGAGGAAAAAGGAGTGGCCATGTTAGCCAGCTGTGTTCACACAGCTGGCTGCAGGAAGACATTAGCATCTTCCTGGATCTCTGTCCTCCCCTGGAAATACTTTATTGTTTATGATGAGAAAAAAAATCACAGTATAGTTGTCTTTTAAGGCAGGCAGGCATGGTACTTCATGTGTTGCTGTTGGTGTTTTTATATTTCTATATTATAGGAGTGCTGCTGTCAGCCTAACACTGGGATTCAAAAGACATGGGACTTTACTCACCAAGTTGGGAAAAGTTAAATCTGGTCCCAGAAGGTGATGTAATGCTAGAGCCAGAAGAAAATGGGGAATTGACAACTGTATCTTGAAGTCCTCCAGCAGAGTGTGAACGAAGCCATTCTTTTGCTTCCTCTTGATTACGAAGTTGAGATGATGGAGTATACCTGCACAAACAAACATAGCCTTTGTACTGCTTGGAAAAAATTTCACTTGACCATAATCTGAAGGTATATACATATGGACAAGAAAAAGAAAGCAGGCCTGAAATTAGTCCCCTGTCTGCCAAAACACTTGTCTTTTACTGTGGATTGTTCCAATGCAAGTTAAACAAAATCTTAAGGACCTGATCTTATACACATACATGAACTTGTCTCATTCTGAACATACATGATTAAATTCAGACTCACAGTAGTGCCATTGGAATTCTTAACTTGATTTCTGTGACTAAATGTGACTGAATCTGAATCCAGCCCATTAATTAAAATAGGAGTGCTCTGAATTTCCAATTTAAGGAAAGATTTAATTTTACAAATCCTATTGCTTGACTGAGAATGTATTATCTATAATACTGAAAAATGCTATTGTTTAGCATTGTTATCTGGTATACATGAGACAAAATGCCAAATATAGCACTGGTAAGATGGGCGTGAGGGAGCCTGGAAAACAGACCAAAAGTTGTAAAATGCAATTTATACATTTTTTGTGAGATGGGAAAATAGTGAATTCAGATTAGAGTTTTCAAACAGTGATTATACTTGGCTTATAAATAGCTATTCACATATCTGCCTAGGCAATGTAGAATTGTCTTTAAGATGACTCTTCACCGCCTCTCTCTCTTTCAGCCTGCCTATACACTGAGATTTGTGACCACGCTTAGAGTTGCCTTTAAGGTGACTTAGACAAGGATATCAAGATTGACTCTTCCCCTCTCTTTGAATCGGCCTATACATTGAAATTTGGGACCAAGTTAAAAAAGTCATTGTAGTATTGTGAATTATGTATGGTACTTAAGACTAAGAGAATCTCCACCATGTAATACATTTGGGGATCTAATGCTATAATCTTTCTCACAGGATGACTGTGAACATAGTATGGGGATGGTGGTGGGGTAGGGTGAGAGAAACAACCAGGCATACTACTAGGAGCTTCTTACAGAGAACACCTGGGTGAATGTAAGAAATAAAGAAGCATTAAAGCAACTGAGGTCTTGTATTTATAAGGCAGAGATAGACTCTACTTGACATAACAAAGGCCAGGATCTGATTGGAATTGATCTGATGGAATTGTTTTGTCAGAATAATCAGGAGAGGTCAGTCTCCCTCAAACCCTTCTCTATGTTTGGATAGAGGAATGACATAGTGGGCCAGCTCTTAGCACGATGGGTTGAGAGCAAGGGTTGAGGCCAAAATTAAAATTAGGAAAAGCTTATTTAGGTTGCACGTATGGATTTTGTACAAGTGAGGTTGTGGATATAAATGAAAACAAGTACTAGAATGATTGAGAATGGAAAAACATGGAATTGTAAGCATCACCTTTTCCCTCTCACCAGGCAGATGTTAAAGTTATTCATGTGTATAGATCACTGAGGGCTGGAGCCATGAAAAGGCACACAAACTGTTAGCGCAATGTAAGAAAGAGCAGAGTGTGAAATACCTACCTCTTTGGCATTCACATTTCATGCTTAAAATATGGTGTTTGTTATTTGTTGGAGACATTTGACAGGCACAGAGAATGATTCAGATTCATCATTGCCCCCACCCCTTGCCGATTTACAAAATGCTTTTAACATCCAGCTCAGTGAGACATTCAAAGCTGCTGCAAAGAACAATGTGTTTATAGCACAGAATAAATTGCAGCTATAATTTAAAGCCATCAGCTCAGTTAGAAAGCAGCACAATCCAGCCTAAAGTTGAACTGTTGTTAAGTGAGCCAGATGCTTTCCGCGGAATTAGTTTAGTGCTTTCAATTTGTAGCACTCATGTTAATAAAGCTAGTGGAATCGTAGGTTTTTATATATATATAAAGGAACACACTCTTCTCAGTGTAATTTCTCTTGATGTCAAATTGCCTGCATTGCATGATGCATTAGAAAAGCAGACATTTATGGCGCGTCTGATTGGTTTGATTGTTTTTCTTAAATGCATAATTACAGATTCAAGTTCTGCATAGCAAAATTTGCACTTCTAATAAGCTCTACATTTCTCTTGATCCACATTTTAGAAGTTACTCTGTAAGAATAGCATCATCAGGTTAACTACTTCAATCATAAAAGCTGCAAATTATTGCTTGCAAATCAAGCCCAATGATGGGTTCGTGAGATGCTTTTGGAAGAGCCAGCCAGCTACAGATGCAGTCCTTGCTCAAGCTGAGAAGCCATCCGATGAAAAGAAGCATGTAGAGGGAGAAGAGAGTAATGACTTGCTTCAAAGAGGCTAAGAGGGAAAGAGTGAGAAAGAGACTGCAGCCACTCACTGCAAAAGCTGACCATCGCCACCACCAGCATTGCAAAAGGCACACAAAGCAAAGCTCCAAAAACCTGCATGGAAGATTGCTTATGCTATATAGGAAACACCAATACCTGAGTCCTTTCTTAGGCAAAGTGTTCCTATCAAGATGTGGGTCGCTGTAGGAAAGTTAAAAGAAAAGAACTTCAGATAAGAACAAAAGGGAATCAAGATCAGCTTGAAAGGGAGGGCAATTTACCATTAAACAGCTGCATCATGGTACCAGAGAAGATAGCCAACACCCCTGCCAAGCCAGCATGCAAAAAACTTTCTAACAACATATGGACTGTGTCATACAGAACATGCACAAAGAACCATGCTAAATGAAGTCACTCCCAGGGTTGTATCCTAAAACCACTTCACTGGTCGAAAGCACAATTCCTTTATCTGTCTTTTAATGGACTGTTAAGTCTGGGATCTTCCTCCACCACAATCGTATCAACTGTTTCTTAATGAAGTGTGCATGGTTCAAAGAAGAGGGCATTAAAATAAGAGCATAGCAGCCATCACCAATGATATTGATTTCAAAAACACTTCACTTCACTTTGACATAAATGCTAAGAGGTTTCAATTTTCTAATGGATATAATTTGCAAACTTTATCAACAAATACTTCAAAGGCTTAAAATGGTGTGTGGGTGAGGAGAACTGTTACAAATGAACAAAGAAACACATGAATTTCAAACTATGAAGATACTTTCCTTTTCAGGAAAGTAGGTAGAGATTTGGGCATTAGGCAAAATGTTGTTCAGTTCATAGAATCATAGAGTTGGAAGAGACTTTGTGGGCCATCCAATCCAAACCCCTGCCAAGAAGCTGGAAAATTGCATTCAATGCACCCTCAACAGATGGTCATCCAGCCTCTGCTTAAAAGCCTCCAAAGAAGGAGCCTCCACCACACTCCGGGGCAGAGAGTTCCACTGCCGAACAGCTCTCACAGTCAGGAAGTTCTTCCTAATGTTCAGGTGGAATCTCCTTTCCTGTAATTTGAAGCCATTGCTCCACGTCCTAGTTTCCAGGGCAGCAGAAAACAAGCCTGCTCCTTCCTCCCCATGACTTCCCCTCACATATTTATACATGGCCATCATGTCTCAGTCTTCTCTTCTGAAGGCTAAATATGCACTTTAAGCTACTCTTCACAGGGCTTGTTCTCCAGATCCTTGATCATTTTAGTCACCCCCCTCTGGACACATTCCAGCTTGTCAACAGATCACATAGGCTCATATAGTATAACCTCTTTGTCAGTGGGACTGGCACCCATGCTTTCATTTATCAATTTCTGACAAAATATGGCCTCTCTGGGCATTTTCCAAGTCTACCAGCATGGCTCTATAGTATCCTCAGACCGGATGTTCTTCATTTAATTCAATAGAATTTGCTGTCATCCACAAGTTTGTGTCTATTTGTGAAGTCTGGGAATGTATTTCCAATGCATATGGGGGTAGTACTGTACTCCAGAAGAAAAGAATGGCTGACTATTGACTATAAATTATCAAAAGTGCCTATCTATGAACTAGTTTGTAACTGCCCATTACACAAATGCTTTCAATGTTCAATGAGGTGTGATTGATGCAGGTTGGTAACCTTGCTATATATTAGGTGACATAAAAGACAGCTGCAACAAATGCTCTTACAATATGCTGCTATAAAAGAAGAATCTTGAATATAATATTGTAATGAACCTTAAAACCTAGCTAAAAAGATTTCTCTACAATGAGCCTAATAACCTAAGTATTTGCCACCATGAAATGGTGACAGTGCAAGAAAGAAAGGTAACCACATTAATTCTAACATTATGATTCGTTACCACACGTCAGATAAACAGCACAGACAACAGCAATAGCGTTTTTAACACATGGCCATATGCAGCCAAATCTGCTCCCTGGCATTCATGTTGACAAGGTAGCAGACACACATATACGAAGACACAGATATAAATATAAAGAAGCCCCCGAAGACCACCCACTCAAACCATAGTGAGGTGAGCAACTTATATTTCAGCCACACTTGGAAGATATGGCACAGGGGAATCAAGACAAAAGGTGAGTGGGCTTGAAACGTGGGAGAAAGCAGCATGCCACCAAAGTGCTGAAATGCTAGTGAGAGTTTAAACTGATAAGTAAGTGAAGTAGAACTTTAAAATGATCGTCATTTTTTTTGTTAGCAGCGGGGAAAGAGCCCCATGCTTCCCAGCTCTACGGTGTGCCATTCCCCAGAGTAAATAGGGGCATAGCACCATTAAATGGACTCTCACTGGCATGTCTTCTGACAGTTTACACATCCCAGTGAAACACACACACATTTTTGCACTGAGCACAGTCTTGCACAATACACTTTGGTTTCTAAAGTGTCTCAGTGAAACCTCTTGGACTTTGGGCATACTATTGCCCCGAGACAGCATTACCTGTCCTGTCTTCTGGGTAAAGTATTTCTGCAGAATTTGGGACTAGCAGCAGGGGAAGAGAGAGGGCTAGAAGAATAAAGTCCAACACGACAGGAAAAACAAAACAACAACAAAAAAGAGAGAGGAACATTAGCACAAAAGGAAGAAAGGGAAAGAGTTGTTTTAAAAAAGTATCACAAGTATTCAACAGTGGTTTTATGCTTCTCTGAAGAAGGATTGAAGGCCAGCTTGTGATTTTGTATTCACATTGAAAGTTGATGCATGTGCTGAACAGGCAGACCCTCAATTTCCATGAAAATATACCCTGGGAGATGGATGCCGAACAAGTGGATACCCTGTCATTCCTTCTTAGATGGATGATTGTGCCACACAGATCTGGTGTCCACTGCGTCTCCCATCAACTTGCAGGTTTCATGTCACATTATTTTCATTCCAACAACAATACAATGAGATGTAGTGTGAATGCTAGGACCCCTCTTGTGATTATACAACCAAAATGCAATAGAAATGGATCTATGAAAGATCTGAATCTTGAACCAATTTATCTGGAGAATGGATATGGAGAGGAGAGAACCACTGAGAGCATTTAAGTGGAAACGCCTAGGTCAACAAACCTAACTATAATCCCAGTGTGGGCAGGCAGCATACCACTCTCAGCTTCCGGACAAAATGCAGATTCCTGTTTTTGTTAATACATAGAAATAAAATGAAATTGTTCAGCAAGCCACAGCTGAAACAACATGTTCATTCTCTAGTCAGTACTACTTTGCTTAAAATGACAAGATTGAACTGTGTGTGACAGCTGCACTTCCCAGATCTTTTTGTCTTCTTTTAGCAGTTGGTGTCTGTGTTTCAACTTTTCTTGTTCATCAGCACGCAGTGGGATTAATATAAATGACTCCTATTACTATGGTTCACTTTTGTCAAGAAAACAGATGTAAGTAAATAGTATGAAAAAAATTACAGGTAGACGAAATGTGGTCTGTTGCCAATTTATTGCTGATGAACAGTTCTTTAAGCAGCCCTGAGGTATCTAGAAACTTGATTTAATATTAAATGAGATTGTTTAAATAAATGAACTTATTACTTAAGATGTTAATTCTAATTAATTTCAGCTACGTTTTAATATGTTTAAAATGTAGCTAATATTGATGCATTTGTAAAAAAAAACTTTTAAAATGTGTAGCCATTTGGTTCTTAGGTGACTTGAAAAGTGGCTCCTGGCTCCTAACTCAGACAAAAATTAATGAAGAACAAAACTTTCCTTGTGTGCATGTGTATTCAAGTTGCCCGTTGAGTTACGGTGACCCCAAGAATTTCAGAGGATTTTCTTAGTCAAGAAATCCTCCTATTTCCACTGAAATACAGTCTACAGCATGTAATATTTACTGGTGGTTTCCCATCCAAGTACTCAAAGGAGCCGACCCTTCTTAGCTTCAAATATTAGATGGGATCTGGTGCCTTTAGGATATTTACAAGATTAAACATTACTTAAGATTGTAGGTTTTTTAAAAGCTTATTTAGTTTATAGTAAATCTACAGCCAGTAGTGAAAGAAGAAAGAAGATAGCTATACTAGGCCAAACTAAAAACTGAACACAGCTTTACATCTAATTTTGGGTAAGGCAGGGTTTCCAAAATGCAACTGAGATAAGACTTTTGAATCAAAAATTGAGTTTGATAATTAAAGGATAATTAATGTGGTGTGGCTAAAAAAAAGTTTCTCCTCTGCTGGTGTCTTGATAGGGCCACTGTTGAATTCCCAATATCTAATCAATGGTGTTTCCCCTAAAGCAAATACTAGCTTTAGACGAGTGCTCTCCTCCCAACCAAAGCAGAAGGAGGAAGCTTTACAATAAATCTCTCTGTTTGCTCTGATCTTAATACATATCATAGTTATAATACTATTTACATCACTGAAAAAAGTATTGATTATGTGTTCATTGAAGTTAGTTCCAACCTATGGCCACCCATAGGGAAACCTATCATAGGGTTTTCTTGGCAAGGTTTTTTCAGATGAGGTTTGGCTTTGCCTTCTTTTGAGATTACCCAGTGGGTTTTCATGGCCAAGAGGGGATTCAAACCATGCTCTTCAGAGTCATAGTCTAACACTCAAGTCACTAAAACAGTGGTTTTCAACCTGTGGGCCCACAGGTGTTTTGGCCTACAACTCCCAGAAATCCCAGCTAGTTTACCAGCTGTTAGGATTTCTTGGGGTTGAAGGCCAACACCGTTTGAAAACCACTGCACTAAGACATACTGACCCTCCTAAGAAGTGAACCTAAACAATGAAGATATGTTTCATGCTATGTTGGGATTGGTTCATGAATGTCAACATGCCTCACATACAGTATCTCTGTAATCTCCACAACGACTTTTTGTGGTCCCTGTGAAATTTGAACCACAGTTTTCCTAATTCCCAGCTCACTCTCTTGTCTGCTACATTTTGTCAATTCTATGCTGTTTCATTAACTCAGATGTAGGCTAATGTGCAGGCAGATGTGGTCCTAACTGGGATTAAAGAGGTAGCAGAAAAGAAAATTCCTTCCTCTTATGGACATGGCAAAGCAAGCTGAGATTTGTATCTGTGGCTGAGCAGGAAACGAAGAATACTCTTTATGTTCCACCCTGTCTTGAGGGTTGTGTTAAAAGTATTTTCATTTGCCACCGTTCTCAAAGACAAGGAAACAGACTTATTTATCCCCACACAGTCCATTCATTTATATGATGGTTTTTTCTTTGCAAACCCTGGATTCCTTCTGAAAAAGAATACTCGAGATTTGAGTCTAACGTGAAAACTGTGGGTGATTTGACAAATTGCTAATATTGGGAACAAAGATATACAACCTCTTAAAGAAAACAAAAAAAAAAATTACAGACATCACTATTTAGCATTTTCCCAAAATGAAGATAGGTGTAAACACTCAAATCTCAAACTGAGCGACAACAGTTATTTCAGACTTATCCAGACTAACATTTGCTACTCAAAACAACACTCAATCTGAGTAGAATTAATTTTCCCAAGTAAACATTTCAGCTATGGTTGTAGAAACCACATACTAATATGTCTAGATACTACACATAATAGAGATACATATTCTGAAAAATGTTCTCACCTTTCAGACAATGTTGTCTTAACACTGTTGGTTCTAACGAAAGGTGTCAATGAATCATCTTTGGCAGCTGCAATCAAACCAGTGGAAGAGTTGTGACTCAGCCCACCTCCACTGCTTAGAGAGATATCAATGGATTCACAACTGGTGTGCAGGCTGCTGACAGATTGGTATCCAATCCCTTCTTTGCTAACAGCAGAAGAACTACTGGGATTAGTCCCCCAGGTTAAACTGTTGGAAGGAGCTGAATGAGCTGAACTGGGACTAGATGCTAATGGAGATTGGTTCATGTCTGCATTTTTACTATAAAGAGGACTACTACCACCGCTGCTCAGAATGCCACTACCAGAAGGAGAATCTGGGTTCCCCTGTTGGCTCATGGTCGCATGTGGATTGGAGATGACCACAGAATTTTTCATGCTTTCAGCTGTTGTGATGGGAGCTTGTTTATTAGGCTTGCCACCAAAAAGTCTGAGGAGAAAAGAAAACAAAGTCAGAAAACATACATAAAACTTCAGATGACATTTCATTCTTTAAAAAAATATATACTGCATTTTAAAAAACGATGTTGTTTAATTTTTCAAGATAACGTATAATTTTTCAAGCCATGTAATGTTTAATTTGGCTCATTTTTCAGAAGACGTGATGATCAAGAGTGATAATGTAAATGCGGATTTCTCTTGATGAAAACTTTTCAAAGAATAGAATTCAAGCATTAAAGTACAAAGGCCCAAAACACTTTCTGGATGCCTCACACCCACTGTTGCACTGTCCAACTGAAAAAAAGTCAATCAAAACAAAAGAGTACCTACCTACGCAAAGTGGGGGAAGCCACATCTGGGTATTTGACTCCTTGCTGGTGAGCTGTCTGGCCAGCACTAGAAGGTGTTTGAGATGCTGGGTTCATTTTAACAGAATTACAGGAGATGACACTTTCATTGTCTGACGAGATCCCTTTCTCTTTATCTGTTTGGTTGACTAATCCTGGCAGAGAGCTCCCAAGGGTAATTTTAGTTGGTTCTCTCATTTTAGGAACAGGTAAGCCTGCAGACTTGCTGCTTATGTTGGAGTCTATGCTGCTGGTACTAGATCTATTGCCAGCTCCACTTCTGCTGCTGGATTTGCTGGGTCTGGGTAAACTCCGGTATTGAAGATTGGTTCGGGTACTAATTGCTAAGTAACCATCATCCTGATTCTGTGAGCCATCAACACTAGTCTTCCGACCAGTGGACCTGCCCAAGAGTCCAGATGATTTAGGGATTTTCCCCAGTGTGGCAGATCTACTCGTGATTGTTGCCCCACTAGCTGTTATCATAGTCATGCCTACAGTTGACCCACTCTGTTTCTTAAATCCAAACGCATTTGTATTAGCAACAGCTGTCCTAGAGTTGGTGGAAGGTTTTTTTGATTCGTCACCACTGCTACGTCCAGCATCTGATGGAGAACGTTTAATGTGTCCAGATTTGGGAGAAATTCTACCCTTTTCGGATACCTTGGCATCATCGGTTTTCCCTTAAAAAACAGATAACAGGTTTCAATAACAAATATTATGCACAAAGAACAGAGATATATAAATAGCATAAACATAAAAGCCACAAGAGTGCAGAAACAATTTAATCTTCCTTAATTAAATGCAAGTCTAGGATAGATAGCACTAATATGCTGAGAAATCTGGGATATAAACACTTAATTATAAATATGTTTTAATATGTGTATTTTAAAGAATGTTTTTAGGTGAATATGTTTTTAACACATTCACTAACCCTGCCTCAAGCCATGAGGAGAGGCAGGCAAGAAATAATAATATTTATTATTATTATTATTATTATCTACTCAAAAACAAGGACAAACAATTACTGTAGGTTTTTTTCCACTGAGGGAGAAATCAAGTATTTTTGTACATTATTTGTCACATATTCAAAGTGCTGCAAAGGAAGTATTCTGCAGAGAAATACAGATTTTAATCCAGAAAATTTGTTTCCCCAAGTTGCAGACATCCAACTCACAAATGACTCACAGTTAAGAACAAGGATAAGGAAACAGGAAGTGAGAGGAATCAACCCCCAGGAAGGGAAACTCACTCCTTAAAAGAGTTGTTATGGGGGGAAAGTGTCTCAACTGAAGCTTTCTCACCAATCCTTGTTTCCACAACAAGCCAAATTTTTCAAAATCCAATTATCACAGGGAAAGAAAGTGAGGTGAAATCTTCTGAACAGGGGCAGAGAGCAGCAAAACAAACACCAGAGGGCTGTTAACCATTCTCTATGCTATCCAAAGCCATTTATGTCTGTGTGTGTGGCTAAAGCTGCACTTAAAAATGTACCTGTTCTAACGGACATACAAATTCAACTTATGAACAAACCTAGAGAACCTATCTTTTTTTGTAATATGGAAACTGCCTGTATAGAGAAAAAAATTCTTGTGATGAAAATGTGGGGTTTTTTTTCACACTATCTTTGCACAATTTCTCTGCAACACTTTGGGACAGTCAAACCTTTTGAGATCTATGATCTTAAAGTTGAGGAAATGGAAGGACAGATAAACCAAGAAAGGAACAAGCAGATTGGTGGCATTTCAATCAATGTAATGGAGAAGAAAAGGTAAATCTTAACTGCTGAATTTGGGTTTTTTGAAAAGAGGTCACAAGCGTACACTCAGAAAACTATGCATTGAATATGATGTTTTTGTATTTGTACAGTGCCCATAATTACTCTGTGGTAACTGTATGGAAAGGAGAGATGAATTTCTAGAGCACATACTGTTTAACCTGAAACTATCTTAAAACCAGAAGTGGCAAGTAAACTTCTTGTCACTTTTGGTTTTGTTGTTGTAAGTTTTTTGGGCTATAAGGCCATGTTCTAGAAGCATTCTCTCCTGCCATTTCACCTGCATCTTTTGGTTTGTTTGTGAGCATTTTGACAATTGTGTGGCCCATGGGGGCCCTCGGTGAAACAAGCATCTCTCCTATAACTTCTTAAAGTTTACTGGTATTTTGAAAGGGAGGTCTGTTCTGCACATATACAGGCACCCCGGCAATGGGAGAAGTTAATTTCATTTTGTTCTGTTCTGGATTGTTCTAATCCCAACAACCGGATCGGTCAAAGACCAATCTACTGATGAACAATACCACTGCCTGATTAGATGGGATGAGACAAGAGATTGCTGTGTTTAGGGAGACTTCCTTCCTCCTGCCAAAACAGCAAGCCTCCTGCTAAAGGGTACTTGCGCATTGGGCCTTCTCTGTCTACAATTAATTTGCAGAACAACATGGTGTTGAAATAGTTCCAGGAGCAAATTAGTTATGGCAGCAAGATCCGATCTTTACAGTGCCCTAAATTCTATTGTTAGTCCTTACTAAGTAGGCCCACTGAATCAATGGGATTTAACTACATGTTAACTCATTATTCATCAGCTGACTTAATGGGACTCTAGTCTACTCAAGACTAATAAACAGGTTGTTAGTTTGTGTTTGTTGATGAATCTGCAACTTTTAGAGAATTTTTAATCAAGTAGTTTGTTTTAAGTTTTTAAGAAAACACAACAGACAGTTCTTAAGAAAACCCAAGTTTTGAACTAGAAAGCTAATCAACTAAATAGATATACCAAGAAATAGGCTTATAAATTATTAACATACCCAAGGAAGTTAAGAGTTCTACCACTTAGCACAATCAGCAATACAAGAGGCATAATTCAACGCTATCATACAAAGGATATTGAGCCAGCATCTCTGCTGGCAGGAACTCTTCAATTTGGCAAAGCAGACACAGGAAAAGAGACTGATTATACTGTTCTCCATGAAAGACAAGCATAGATCAACAAGCACTTGAAATCCTGGCAGTTCAGAGGCATTTTTTCTCCTGACAGCACTAATTTTTGGCCTGCATTGCTCCCCTCTTGGCTGTACATTCCTCACCTGTTCCAGGTGTCTTCAAAGTTCCTGAAGTGGCTGCTGTTTTTGTCCTTGGCGAGGTAATGCCAACCTGAGCCGACATGCCTCGTCTCCAGGAACCCGTCTGCGAAATAACTGTGTTCTTCCTCCCAGAAGTGCTTTTATCCGATTCATCAGACACATCAGATGGATTTCTTCTCCATTTTGATCCCGGCTCCATTTTTACGCCACTGTCTGAGCCTCCGTCTGATTTTTTGATTTCATCACCAGACCACAAAGAATTCCGCTCCACTTGGGAATGCTTTTCAGCATCAGTCTGAGTGGGAAAGCAGAAAAACATAAAGTTGAACTGCAATCTTATTCTTCCTCTAGGATCCAAACTCTATCCCTTAAGGAAATCTTTACTCTGTAGCCTCTCTGGCTCTCTCTTTCTCTCTGTATCCTTTCTGATGCTAAATTCATATTAATAATCAAACCCTAATCAAATGATTGTAACATGAAATTCACATATATATTTTAAAATGGAAGCAAATACAAGAAGAACAACAACCTATAAAATCATAAACATAAAGAAGTATTTACAAAGGTCATAATTGAAAAATTATCTTGGTGCCCTGCAGCTCCCTCATCCCAGCATTCCTCATAGAACCTCACACTGCAAGGCATAAACTCACTTCGAACGTGAGTTGCGAGCTTTTCCTTTGTTCTGCCTCCCTATCTCTTTGCTGGCAATTTGATCTGTGAAGCATGAAGAGGCAGCTTTTTGCAAGACTGAAAGATAAATGGGTCCTTTTCTGTTTCTGCCTCACACTAACTTTGTCATCAACTTGGGTGAGAACATTTCAGAAAGTGGCATGCTTCACAACCCCTGCTGACATTTGTGATTATGCAGAATAGCTTTTGGAAAACTACACATACAAAAATGTAGGTATTCATCAATTTAATTTGCCATTTTTTTTCTCTATTCACATTAAACAAATGCCACTATTTAGGATTCTTCAGTGATAATGCCCTAAACACACACTAAAGACTAAGGACTAGGGGGAAGAACCATTTGTTGGAGTGTATGTTCACATCTGTACTCTTTGTTTGACTTTCTCTGTCTTTAACCATCGTTCTGAATGATTTGCAATTCAAATCCTACACTAGAGATCTGAAAAGCTGTTGGACCTGCTACTCACGTGGGAACCTAAAAACACAGATGCAAAGGGAATCTGTAGCTTTGTGTATTCTGTTTTCTTACGTTTTTCCCTATCTGCTTTTTTTTATTTCCTATCTTGTTTATTTTTTTAAAAAAGCATTTTAAATCACTGAATCACCAGTTTTTTGCAGAGATCATACAAATACAGTAACAAATAAAGCTGACTTGTTTTGCTGCTTTTTTATCTGCTATTGTGTGAAGGCGACTCCCATTGTAACAGCAGTAGCTAAATAACCTAAAGTCCTTCGACCTATGGTTTGTTTATCATAACAACCAACCCAGCAGGAACTAGTAAACCAGTAAAATAACATATGATTAGTTTTGGGAGCAAGACAAGTCAGAGTACTAGGTACTGCCATTTTACTAGCAGCTGGTTGATTGACTAGCATGCTGCCATGAATGATGATGACAATGATGACAACTACTTTAATCTTTATATTCCACCTTTCCCCAAACATTGGCACCCAAACATTACAAAACATTAATGCCAATACAAATTTAAATGTAAAAAAATCAGTAACACTTATAAAAGTAAAAAATCATTCATTGAAATAGAGCATATAAAAATCAACAAAACAATTCCGGAAGGGTTGTTTTAGGTTTTTCGGGCTGTATGGCCATGTTCTAGAAGCATTCTCTCCTGACGTTTCGCCTGCATCTATGGCAGGCATACTCAGAGGTTTTGAAGTCTTTTGGAAACTAGTGAAATTGGGTTTATATATCTGTGGAAAGTCCAGGGTGGGAGAAAGAACTCTTGTCTGTTGGCGCTAGGTGTGAATGTTTCAGTTGGCCACCTTGATTAGCATTGGATGGCCTGACAGTTTTTAGGTGTCGCTTGTTACTGCCTGGGGGAATCCTTTATTGAGGATTCCCTCAGGCAGGGTGTGAATCTGGAAGGGTGTGAAGACGTTCCTGACAGCATTTAATTAAGCCAATCAAGTGGTAGTGGAAGGTCCTAGTTTTTATATTGGCTTTAATGTTCATATGGCTTTAATTGTGTTTGCTGTTTCAAATATTTATATTTTCAATGGGTTGTTTTAACTTTTACATTGTATGTTTCTATTCTGTTGTAACTGCCTTGGGTCTGTGCTCAGAGAAAGGTGGGATATAAATCTATCATATACATACATTATATATAATATAATATAATATAATATAATATAATATAATATATAAATATAAATTCATCATTAAAAGCTCATTGCACCAATTCTGAAAATCCTTCCTGGAGAGGAACTTGCAAACCTTGGGAGCATCCACTCAGTGAGTCCTCTCCCTGGAACCCACCAAATGTAACAGGGAAAATGGGAGGCTGAGAAATAGATCTCCTCCATAGGCTATAGAGTCTAAGCTTATATAGGAACCTCCGACCTCTTGGTTTTCAGTCTTGCCGGCACAAGGGTTTAACCCACTGTGCCACTGGGAGCTCCCACGTAGTGCTTAAAAGATCTTAACTAGCACTCTGAACTGTCCTCAGAAATAGAATGGTAACCAATGCCCTGTTGCAACCAGTGAGCTATATGCTCCCTGTAATAATTGAAAGTTCTTCAGGAACGGATAGTCAAAATATTTTTTTTTCCAGTACAGAGAGAACATTTCCTGTTTCAATCCATATCTGAAGTGGGATTGTGAGAAAGTCACCACTTCTAGGAACTATGTTGCACCTCCACAGAAAAGCACCCCATACACTTCTAAGGTATTATTTCAGTCTTCCAGATGCAAAACAGGATCAGTACAAATAGCTTATTTCAATCCTCTGTTAATGAATAAGAAGTGTTTCAACACATCAGCCATATATCATCAGGTTTATAGCTTAGTGCTAGCAATTTCAAATAGACATGAAATCTCAGACGCATAACCAGAGGCAAAAACTTTTTATGTAGCCACAACTATGCACTTCATGGCAAGGGAACAAAGAGTATTACATTTCATGCATCAGAGTGTTTTGAGGCAATTTAACACTTTGTGGCAACTCCACTATTATATTAAAAAGTTCTATTGAAATGGTTTTAGGCTCTAGCAAAAAGGTGCTTTGAGGAACGCAGTAGTAGTATTACACAGAAATATGTACAAAAAAGCAATGGATAGAAAATGTGGCCTTCCATTTAGGAAAATCTCAGAATATTGAAATTCCCAAAACAGTTTTAGATTTAGAAGATGTGGAAGAAAAAAAGAAGAGCACGAAAGAGAGAAATAAATGCTATTGTTACAGAAAATCAGAGAAAAAAAATTACTGTACACTTCCGAATGTCATACTGAGCCAACGTTTTCCTTCCGTATTTAGTTTGTTGGCTAGATTGACTGAAAACCTGATGAATGCCACCTACAGACATAATTTTCTTGTGAAAAGGTGCCAAAAAAAGGATGGCCTGTAATAACATGCAGTCTTGGGAAATTATAATACATTTCATTAAGTAACATGTGTTTACATTTCCTCTGAGAGTGTTATAATCGTCAAGCTTTTATGTGAACTTACAGTAATTAAAATACTGTTGCTTAAATGAATAATGCATTGTGCCTTACCAGCATCAAACTAAAAGAAGAATGTGCTAAATATACATGATATTAATCCCCCTTTAAAGGTTCAGCAACTAGGACAGAATCCATTTGGATATCTCAATGGATCCCACTGCTTCTGCCAGCTCCAGAGGGTTTCCCAGCTACCCAGAACAAATGGAGGGCTGCAGGAAGGAGTCACACTTGAGATGGAAAGGAGAATCCACTTAAAATTCTCAAATGGATCCTGGCCCTAACTGATATCATCTGTGGAAGTTGAAAAGTCATAACTCCACGGCACAACTATCCCACTTTACAAATTTTAGAGCCGAGATAACTGGCTCTGTCCATGGCGTCTGTGAGTGAGTAGATTAGCATATAAATGTATAAAACTGTAATGTAGAGCCCCAGTGAGATTAGCTTTTTCTGATAATAAACAAGAGACCTCATGCATATAGTTCTATTAGTTCTTCTGCATTGCCCTCATCTGATCCAGGAGGTCCTCCAATGATCTAGATAAGATCTAGAGGGCATACAAAGACCTCTATAAAAGGAGAAATCTGTTCCACCCAAATGGGTGACAAATTTCAGCATTTTCATATTATTGTTGGGCACATGGACATTACTGTATACAAACTTTCATATATAAGACCTTTATAATATTCATCATAAAAGCAAGGGGTTGGACTTCTAGCATGGGCAGATCATTTCTGGTCCTGCTCCCTCTCCTGATATAGATTCGGCAGGGCTCTAAACTCTAATCACTTTTATATAACTATACAATTTCAAGAGAATTCCAGATATATTCCCTACTTGCTCAATCCCAAATGATTCCATCCCTTTAATTTAGGCCCCTAACACATTTTATAGCAACTAAAATCTTGAAATCAGAAAAAACTGTGCAATCATAGGGACACAGGCAACTATGTTAAACTGAGTTCAGACCACTAGTCTATTCTGCACAACACAATCAGTTTTGAATAGCAGTGGTTCTCTTGTGCCTCAGGCAGAATTATTTCTGAGCCCAATGCAAAGATCTCTCTTATTCCCTGGCAGTCTTCAATCACTGACCCTGGTTAGGGAGAATGACTGATATGATGAAAGAGAAGAATGTTTGCATGTATATCATTTGTTCACAGGTGACTTATAAGCCATCTGGAATGATCAAAATAAGCAACAAAAAATAGAAGTAATTCATAAACAAACAAAATAGTGTAGTTATAAAACAAATGACATGTCAATCATCATAATGTACCAGCACAGACAGTTCATTATTCTGATCCAGTTTTACCATTATCAGCCTGTTACGTTGAGAATCAATCAGGAATTACCAGAATTGAGATCTCTTGTCATGCATTAGAATAATCTTTCTGATATGTTCAATGAGGTGAGTGCCTAGTAAATGAGTTAAACATTTTGGCCTTGATATTGCAAAAATTTGATTCTGCAACAAGCAATGAAATGGACAGGGTCACATGTTTCTGAAGGGATCTGAATACCTTTGAAACTTCAGGCAGTCCCCGAGTTACAAATACCTGACTTACAAATGACCCGTAGTTAAGAAGGGGTGTGTGTGTGTGACACAACAGGAAGTGGGAGAAATCTACCCCTTAAAATGGAAATTTTCTCCTGAAAGAGATATCATGGGGAAAAGGTGTCCCCACTGAAGCTTTCTCGCCAATCCTTGTTTCCACAACAAGCCAAATTTTTCAAAATCCAGTTATCAAAGGGACAGAAATTGAGGGGAAATCTTCTGAACAGGGGAACAGACAGCAAGACAAACAGCACAGGGGTGTTAACCCTTCCCTATGCTATCCAAAGCTTACACATACACAAGCACACACATATAGCTGGAACAACACTTAAAATGTACCTGTTCCAGTTTACATACAAATTCATCTTAAGAACAAACATACAGAATCTATCTTGTTTGTAACTTGGGAACTACCTGTATTATATTGAAATGAAGAGAAAAAAGAAAAAAACTTACCTGGGAATCTAGGTTCTTACGGGAGGATGCAGGTGTGTTCGCATAGGAGCTGATCGAGGAGCTGGTGTTAATGTCATCAGTGCTGAGATTATCTATGGTGTCGCTAATCCCACTGCTGACAGAACTGCTGTCATCCCAGCTGAGGAGAAATGGGAAAACCCATAATAAATAACTCAAATAAGTAATTCCCACAGCAACCAAGAAGTAAAAAAAATGTAAAGGTTGGCAGGGCTTTTAAAAAATTAGGAATTTACAGCAATTATGGATTTATCAACAATTTCAAATATAATTCGCTCATCTGCAATACATATGCCCCCAATGGGCCTAAAAAGAATTTTGTAAGAACATTAAGAAGGAAACTTGAAGAACAAACATTTGACAACTTGATACTCATGGGGGATTTTAATGGGGTGTTGGACTGTACAAGGGATAAAACCGGAAAAAAGAAGGCGCAAGAGAATCGTGGGAGACTCCCGGAATGCTTTTTAAAGCTGAAAAGGGACTGGTTTCTCCAAGACGTCTGGAGAAGGAAAAATCCCACTGGAAGAGATTATACCTGTTACTCTGACCGGCATGCAGTATGGTCCCGAATTGATATGGTATGGGCATCGAATTCGATAGTAACTAAAATTGATAAGATCCAAATTCTGCCACGCATACATTCGGACCACTGCCCAATATTGTTGAAAGTACTCGGGGATAAAATGCTGAGAGTATGGAAACTAAACGAATACCTTTTGAAAAATGAGGAAGATGTTGTATCATGCAGGAATCAAATTAATGAATATTTTGAAATGAACACTAATAAGGGCACAAGTGCAGAAATTGTATGGGACGCCAGCAAGGCGGTGGTCAGAGGTCATCTAATCAAACAAGGAACAATCCGTAATAAATTAAGAATAGCTGAACAAAAAGCTTTAATAATGGAGATAGAGGAAAAGGAAAATAACCTTAAAAAGAAACCAGGGAATAAAAAGATTAAAATGGAACTGGAGCTACTGAGGAAACAATGGAACTCAACGCAGCTAGAACATATTGCAAAAAATATAAAATACTTAAGGGTCAAATACTATGCTCAGGCTAATAAACCTGGCAAATTATTAGCGAAGACTTTAAAGGAAAAAAGGCAAAGCCAATATATTACAAAGATAAACAAAGAAGGAGTATGTTACCTGGAGGAAGAAGAGATAAGAAGACAGTTTTGCGAATTTTATAAAGAATTATACAAAAAAGAAAATACATCAGAAGAAAAGATAGTAAAGTACCTAGCGAATCATAAATTAGAAAAAATAACAGAGGCCCAAAGGGAACTACTGAATAACCAAATAGGGGAAAGTGAGATAGGTAGCGCCATAAAAAAGCTACCAAACGACAAGGCGCCCGGACCAGATGGCATAACTGCCTTATTCTATAAGACATTTCAGAAGGAATTAACACCATACCTGAAGGAGGTTTTTAATAACGTACTAATGGAAGCGAAAATCCCAGATTCTTGGCGAGAGGCGACTATCACAATAATTCACAAAGTAGGATCAGAGGAGGATAATGTTAAAAACTACAGGCCTATTGCCTTATTAAACACAGACTACAAGATCTTTGCCCAGATAATGGCTAATAGACTAAAAACGTATCTTAATGAGACTATTAAGGATGACCAAACCGGCTTCCTACCTAAGAGACATATGAATGAAAATTTAAGGACTTTAATAAATATAATTGAGCTTCATGAAAACAACCATCAAAGAGAACTGGGCCTCTTGTTCCTCGACGCCGAAAAGGCTTTTGACCGGGTGAACTGGGATTTTATGTACCACCTAGCCAGGGAAAAAGACATGGGATTCCAATTTAACAATATGCTAAAGGCCATATACACAAAACAAAGTGCCAGGATAAAAATCAACGGCCAGCTATCGGATAACATCAGTATGGAGAGAGGTACTAGACAGGGCTGCCCACTTTCCCCCCTTTTGTACATTATGACGGTGGAAATCCTCCTTGAAGAGATAAGGAAAGACAATAGATTGAGAGGCATAAAAGTTAGAAAAGATGAATTTAAAATCAAAGCCTATGCAGATGACATAGTTTGCCTAATAGAGAATCCGGTGGAGACTATCACCAACTGGAAAGCAGTAATAGAGGATTATGGGAAGGTGGCAGGGCTAAAAATAAATCAACAAAAAACCAAATTCCTAACGAAAAACATCTGCAAAGCCAAAAAACTAGAGCTGGAGAAGATCTCACACTTTACAGTGGTCAATCAAGTAAAATACCTAGGAATAACCCTAACAGCAAACAACACACAATTGATTAAAAATAATTACGAGCAGACATGGAAGGAAATTGCCAGAAAACTAGAGAATTGGAAAGATCTAAAACTAAGCTTAATGGGGAGAGTTGCAATGATCAAGATGAACGTGCTGCCAAAAATGAACTTTCTGTTTCAAATGATTCCGGTTTTAAGAACAAATCATTGCTTCAAAACATGGAAAAAAGACATATTGAAGTTCATCTGGCAGGGGAAGAAGGCAAGGATCAAATATACAACRATGGTAGACTCAAGGGAAAGAGGAGGACTAAGCCTGCCGGACCTACAATGGTACTTCGATGCCTGCGCACTGCTRTGGTTAAGGGAATGGGCCACCTTAAARAAAAAAAAGCTTCTCAACTTGGAGGGAGCTGAGCTTAGAAGGGGATGGCATGCCTACCTATGGCATGGGAAAGCCGAGGTGGAAAAAAGTTTTTCCAATCATATCATCAGAGCAGCGCTGTTGAAGGTCTGGGAGAGGTATAAAACAAGGTTCTATGATAGAACCCCTCTCTGGGTCTCCCCCATTGAGGCCTTTCATAAAAGGGAGTTCCCTAGTAGTCACTGGTATCCCTATAGTATGCTACTGGAAAAAGAATCGATGCAGTATAGATTAAAATCAATTGAAACCCTGAAGACCCTTGATAAGAACTTTTCRTGGTTCCACTACCTCCAGGTGGCAGATAGTTTTAAGGAGGACAACAAAAATGGCTTTGCCCCAGTAGAGTCCTTTTGGGACACAATCTTGGGAAAAGAGAGGAAAGTGATAAAACTTCTCTACCAAAAAATACTGGAATGGGGGACGGAAAAGGATCTTATAAAAGAGAACATGATCTCTTGGGCAAGAGATCTGGGCCATTCTATTTTGCTGCAGGACTGGGAAAAAATTTGGAAAGTCAAAATTAAATKTGCCAAATCAGTAAACATTACTGAGAGCTGGTATAAGATGTTTACACGCTGGTATCTAACACCTCAAAGGCTGGCGCTGTATTATAAGGGAGTCAACAATATCTGTTGGAAATGTGGCACTAAAGTGGGAACATATCTTCATACCTGGTGGCTGTGCAAAAAAGCAAAGATCTTTTGGAAGGAAAYACACCTACAAGTTCAGGGTATTTTACAGACTAAGTTTGAGCTAAAGGCTGATTACTACCTTCTGCATATACTAGATTTCGAATTGGAAAAAAATAAGGAAATGTTGTTATATCACCTCTCGGCAGCGGCAAGATCAGTTTTTGCAAGTAGATGGAAAGCAAAGGATCAGCCCCCCATGGAGGCTTGGTTTATGAAGATAAGGGATTACATGGAATTGGACTCATTATCAAACATGGTATATGATGTGAAAAAAAAAAAACAAAGTAGACTGGCAACCACTTAGAAAATTCTTTAAAGAAAGGAAAAATATAAAGCTATAAAAAATGAATGTTTGATGAATGCTATTAAAAAGGGGRGAAAAAAATTAAGGAGAAGGAATAAGTGTAAATTACCTCGTGGAAGGTTGGGAAGTCTAGGGAATGAATGAATGAGTGTAGTTCCCCTCCCCTTACCCCCTCCCTCCTAGCAGAACCTCACCCCCCTTCCCCTTTGTTCCACCCCTCTCCCCTTACCTTGAATGAATGAATAATAAAAGCAGGAAATAGTAGCGCTTAGAGTTGATTTTATTGTAAAAATTAATACTGTAAATAATCTGTAATGAAATATGGGCTAATCAACTAATGTTATCATTATGTCGGAATGAGTGCATGTATATAAACACGAAAACGAATAAAAATTATTTAAAAAAAAAAAACAATTTCAAATATAATTAACAGATATCCTAGAGAAAATTTTCACAGTCTTGCTGATGTTGATTTCAAAAGTAAAACACTACTTTTTATTATGGTGACTCTGATAGAACACATAATTTCCCTAGTTTAACAACAGAAAGTTGACATAAAAATAAAAAAAAAGAGGAGTGATAATTTGGAGAAAGGAAGGTGATGTTGTACATTCCAGATCTGAAACTAGCTTTTTGTTATGCCCAGAGTCACATTTTCTTGCTTCTTTATTTGCTTATTAATTATCTATTAAGTACTGTAATACAAAATCCACTTTTGATGGCATTAGAGGCAGAGGACCTCTATGAAAGTGGGAAAACAATGAAATAAAAGAACACTTTTATTTTCACCTGAGAGAACAGCTCTCCAGGAATTTCTAGGTTCCTGTGGCAACTCAATGGTCAACTTCCACCATATATATGCCCCGAAGGACCTAGAACAGGGGTCCTCAAACTTTTAAAACAGAGGGCCAGGACACAGTCTCTCAAACAGTTGGAGGGCCAGATTATAATTTGAAAGAAAAAACATGAATGAATTCCTATGCACACTGCACATATCTCATTTGAGTGCAAACAACACTTAAAAATAATACAATAATTAAAATGAAGAACAATTTTAACAAATATAAACTTGTTAGTATTTCAATGGGAAGTGTGGGCCTGATGAGATAGGATTGTTGTTGTGGTGGTGGTGTTATGCTTTCAAGTTGTTTCAGACTTAGGTTGACCCTGAGCGAGGGCTGGGTAAATGACCTTGGAGGGCCGCATCCGGCCCTTAATTTGAGGACCCCTGACCTAGCGAATCCTGGACAAGTGTTCTCTATGTTTCCATCTTCTGCCAAAAGTTGACCACAGAATCCTTTTGGGGGTCCAAGAGATTCCTAAAGATAACAAGCCAATCAAATCTCCACATAATCAACTCTAAAAAAGTTAAACTTGCAAATGTAGAGGACCAACTGTATTTGTATCCCAGTTGTTTATTGTATTCGCTATTAATACAAAAACATGAAGTAAACAATTATTATTTTCAATTACAGATTATCAAAATAGGATTCCTCCATGAAAAACAGAACTCTCTAGACCAAGGTCACCACTCCCAATATTGGGCTCTTATTTGTATAAATAATATCTCTTTTCTGAGTTGTTCAAGAACCTAAACCATAAGTTGCTCTAGGAAGTTTCCCATTATGAGTAGTTCCTAATGGGAAAAAAGATATATTAAGCAATTAAATGAAGTGCTACACAAATGAATTTGTTGAATATACATCCACAAAAAGATAAGTGTTACACTCTCTGTGTGGTAACACTTAGCTTTCTTCACTTTCAGTGTGAGAAAAAGCATAATACACAAAATTGTCCTTAAGAAGTGACAAAATACAACTAAGAAATAAAGAGCAATAAAGACCAAGCAAATCTTGATCTTTATTGGTTTGATGAAGAAGACTCCTACATAAAGAGCCCAAAACAATCTCTCTTCTACAAGCCCCTCTTCTTAAGGGTACCTGTCAGAAGGATATCCCTTTCATCAAGCCTCTCCACACCTAATACGCACAATTACTTCTCAACTCAGGGGTGGGAGAGTGAAGCAGAAATTCATTCAAAGGCTGCCAGCTGGCTTCAGTTTCTAGAATTTCCACCAATGAGTGATTGTATCCCTCATCTAGTAAATAATCTTGCCAACGGTTACACTGAATGCTAAAACAAGGAGCGCTATTCAAGACTAGCAACTTTAAGCATGAGACTTACGTTTTGAAAATCCTCTGAACATTAAATCTAACCCACATCGCAACTGCATAATGTAATAGAAAAGTTGTAACTGCTAAAATATGAACTGCATTAAATATGAACTGCTAATAGAGAGATTTGGAAACAGGAATTTAATATTCATAAAGCCTTTGGAGCATGCTCAAGGGAATTATTAGAGAATGATCCAGCTGTTTGCAGCATGTACTGGGGTATATCATGTCATGAACAGCTGGGACAGACAGACTCTCTACACATCCCTCTGGGATTAAGTTTCATCAGTTTCAATAGAATTTACTTCAGACTAAGGACCTGTTCAAATGCAGTATTTCCTATTTCAAAATCATAATTTTGTGATGTTGAATGTTCTGAGAATGTACAGGCTCCGGCCTCCCTTTTCACACTTAAGATTTCCTCCCCTTTCTTCTGTGGTTCAGATTAACCACTTTTCCACCATACCATTTCAACACTAGCCTGCTGTAAATTCCCAAGACCCAATTAAAATCAACCATGGTTTTCCACCCTGTTGTCAACCAGTAAAAAGGTAACTGCTTGAGCATTTCTTGTTTGAATGGACACCCCCACTTGGGTCCCTCTAACGTAGTGACAGGCAATTGTGGTAGGACCAGGGATTGATTTTCTGACTCTAGGACACTTCTTTGAGCTTGGCCTAAAAGGCCAAAAACAAAATAGAAAAAAATGTGGAAGTTGGGAAAGTCTGTTAGTGGCTTTTTCAATTTTTTTCAAGATCAAATGGTAAGGCCTACAAGCTATCTAAAAGGAGAACTCCTATTCCTGGACACTTCAAGGAGAAGCAATTCATATATATGCATTTCTCTGTGTGACTAGTGCATGTGCACAGATAGAGAGTTGCTATTGTGTGCCCTCAGGTCACTTCTGACTCTCTGGCAGAGAGATAGATATTGGCCAAAGTCACTCCCCTGGCTTACGTTTTGTACACTTCTGGTCTAAATGAAGACCAGGGGATGGACAGGAATTAATATTTTTACAGTAGGTAATCTATTGAAAATTTATACACGAGTTTAAAATTTAGACAAGTATTTTAAGAGGATCCCTCTCAACATATATATAATTAATATAGGGTGTTTTTTGGGGGGAGGGGGGTTGTAGGTTTTAGTGAATAAAATATTATTCACTTTTAAATTAATTTTCTATCTCTGGTTTCAATATAATCCACATAAGTTTCCAAAGAAAGGGGGGGGGGGGGGTTGCAGTTTTTCAAACCTGAATTGCATAATTAGATTTGTTTTCAACAAGTTCCTTTTATCAAGTGACTTCATCCCCCACCCCATGTTTCAGCATCTAAGTGGTTAAATTCAAAAGGAAGGAAGAAAGGAAAGGAAAATGTAACAGCCCTCTTAATTACAGCATTCCAAAGCCTGTGAACAATGATAGAATCTTTGCAATTTAGCTGGGGCAATTAATAACTTCTGATGTCAACAAAAATCTATTCAGCCATAACATGAGACCCTATGCATTTCCTTTGATTCACTTGATCAATCTACTTTGTACACTAGGATATATGTGATTTCTTAGCATTGCTTCATATCCTATATTAATGGAAAACACAGGTTTAAAAAAGCCAGGAAATGAAGTTAAATTATAATTTGTCAAACAAAAAAAAATGGAAAGAAAGTATTTCCTACTCAAAAATTAAGTACCCACTCCATCCTACAGTTCCTCAAAACCTGCAAGTTATAAGCAAAACGATTTTAAAAACGTGAAAAGTAAACAATAGTGACTCTACCTGGCACCTTGAAATTAACTAAAAATGTTCCCTATAACATCTCTAAAGGTCAGCCTCTGTAGCTTTCTGTAAGCATAGATTTGGAAAAATATGTCAAACCATCCAGTTTCCTGTATATAAGAATCTCACTACCCTAGTATACCAAGCAACAGTATACCTGCATATAAGAATCTCCCTACCTTAGTATACCAAGAATTCAACTACCCTAGTATACCAAGCAACCAAGAAAGAAGAACATTACAAAACTGTGGTATGCTGCAAAGGTGATTTCAGACACAGATGAGTGTAGCAATCAAAATCAAAAGAAGACACAGGCTAATATAGCTTTTACTATAAAGTTTCAATCAAGTCATTCCATTGTGAATCTTACCTTTATGAAATTTTAAACTACTGAGTTGACTTCTATGAGCATTGTTTTTGACTAAATCTGAATCCAGCCCATTGTCTTCAATCTCATAGTAGCCACATTTTTAACCTTGTCAAAAATCACAATTCACCCTGTCCTTTTTATATTATTGTTGCAAAAAAAAAAAAATCTGCATTGAAGATGTACTTTGAAAGATGTGGTTTTCTCAATGCCATCCACTGAATGAGGTGTCACATCTAAAATTCAAGAACTAAGCTCAGCACCCAAACTCTCCACGCTAGGTTTTTTTTCAAGAATTCTTTGTAAGGAATAGCTTCTTCCACACATTGAACAATAAGGTTTAATTTGTTTAATTTGTCCTACATTTCACTTCCACTGTGAAGATCAGTTTTGGAAAACATAGCATGTTTACACAGAATTCTAAGTGTCCATGGGACTGTGCCAAAAATAATTTATCCATAAATCATCAATGGAGGATGATGCTCTGGGTCTCCAAGCATTACTCTATTAGTCAGTTACGGATTATAGTCATTCTTCTTAAATATAATTTCCCAAGCCCTGAATAACAGTACTATTTGCAAAGTACATTTTTGATATGAAGTTGCTAACTAGTGAAAAGTTGGCTTGTCAAGTGTTCCTGAGCTGGCAATGGCTCAAAAGGGCATTGTTTTCCACACATAATATCACATTCCTCCCATGCCAAAATGACTGTTTATGAACCTTGCCAATTTCTGAATATTCATTGCAGCCAACCACAGGAATGTAGTCTTTGAGAAAGTATTATAACAAAACGGATGCTTTTCAAGAACTGTACGTGGAACATATAAACTCTGTTCCCAATCTGTGCAACTACTGAAAGTTTTGATAAAACACATTCTGTGCATTGGTGAATTTAATACTGATTGGTTCTTTTATCTAAAATAATTATTACTACGGATATTTTGCCTGTATTTAATTTTTCTAATGGGAATAGTAATATGTGTGTAAATGCCTTTAAAATGCCATCCCAATTATAAAGGGATATGAGATGTGCATTACGTGAAGTACCTGGTTGCACTGTAGTTGTTTAAGTTCAAATTATCTTCCAAGATAAAAGCAAAGGCTTGCTTACTTTACCAGGAAGAGGGAAGGAAAGGTGCAAAGTACCCATGAAGCACATATGGCATTCCAAATTGAAACTAGGTGATTATCCCTTTATCCCTAATACAAGAACTATTCGTTTGTTAAGAAGAGATTGAAAAACTCTGAGGATAAAAGAGACCTCTTAAAATCTTCTTCTAAGAAGAGAAAAGGCACAGGACCTTTTAAACTGAACTATAAGAGATGAGAGAATAGCTGTTTTCATGTGGGACTCCACCAGATAGTGGCATAATGGAACAAGGAATTCCAGGAAAGATTTAACAATAATAACAACAACAAAGTGAAAGTCAAAGCAAAATGTTGTCTGTAGAGCAAGCTACTTTCCGATGAAGGTTACATTCAGGGTCAGTATGATCTTACTGCTAAGAAGTAAAAGTATTTTGAAAGCACTTTTGTTCAAGGTACCTAAATACCCTAAAGACACCAGATCCCATCTGATCTTGAAAGCTAGCAGAGTCAGACTTTGTTAGAACTTGGATTAGAAACCACCAACAAATAATACATTTAAGAGGAAGGACCTGGAAAAACCATCCCTAGCATAACAAAATCCTATAAAATTCACAGGGCTGCTGAAATTTGACAGGTGGCTTGAAGGTACACAAACATTGTTCAAAAAGATTACTGTTCAGAGGTGTGACATTTGAGTTTACATTTGTTAATATGATCCATTTCAGAAAACAACTGAAATATAAATGCTCACTGGCACCTAAAATAGCGAAATATATTACATTTTATACCTGGGCTCTTGGTGTCAGTTCAAAATGGAAGCTGCTTCCAAAGTATACCACTTAGCTGTTCAATAATCCTGATACACTGCATTATCCCTGGTTTTAGAAAACAACAACTTGGGACTCTCTTCCTTAAACACATCACGGAGCATACCGAAAATAAATGAAAACATGGCTATCTGCTGTTACATGGAGCATGTAATTCCCTGTTCCAGCAGCTCTGCTGGCTGCTGTGTTTCCAGGCAGAATTCAAAATGCTGGTTATGATAGATAAAGCCCCCACAGCTTAGGTCTAGGATGTTAGACAGACCCATTTATATCAGTATACACCAATATTTTTTTAGAACTGGATTAATACTGTATTGAGATGGGATACAGACTCTCCTCATCTCACCTGATTATTATGATTTGAAAATACTGCGCCTTGACTCATCCCACCATGGAAAGCTACATCACTCTATGACCTTTTAAAAAGTATAGTTGCTGATGGAATGCATAGATATTTTCCAATCACATTCAAAAACTCCGCTTCAGCAACAGAAAAATCCATATTATTTCAAAAGACACAATTAGGACTCAGTCGTTTCTGCAATGCTTTGCAGATGGATTCCGACAGAATGGGGCAAATGTCATGTGATGGGACCCATTCAGAATCATTCTCAAACTGTCTCAGAAACAAGACTATTTCCAAATGTGATAAGGTCCCATATATTCTCACATTAGCTTGACTAGAGCCTGCAATTCACAGGAGAGGTCCTACTTTCAGTTTCACCAAATTTGCAGCTACCGTTCATGTTTTTATATGTAATCATTGTAATTTGCAAGCCACACTGAGTCTTAAATCTGAGGAAAAGGGATAATGATAGTGGTGGTGATATATACTTATTACTTCTCAGTTACTTCATACATAAGATAAAGATGGGTGTTTCCTATAAAAACTCAAGCTGTAAAAAAGCAAGTTAATGTTGAAGAAGAATGTCAATTGGCTTAGTAATATTTAACTCTTTATTAGATCGTGGACTTTTATTTTTGTGCGAAACATGTGCCGAAAATGTCATGGACTGTATGTGATTTCGAGCATATCAAGTAACTGAAGATAGAAAAGATCAAAGGAATACTTTGAAGGCAATAAAAATACCTGGAAAAAAGAGGGCACTGTGCAACATTTGAATATGCTGAGTAGAAACCAGGCTTCCATTATTCCTTTCTACTAAGTTGTTCTCTCTGGTGTTCTTTTAAATCATTAACTACAACTTTAGGAAAAACAGGACTAACAGCAGATCTAAATTATAGAATCTACTATCTAAATCAAGGATGGGCAGATGGTAGATTATAATCTGGGTTATAATGTAGTAGATCAGCAAACATTTCTGGCTCCAAATATCCAACCATTGAAGAAATTTTAGAAGATTTTCTTGTTGAAACTGAATTACTGAAGACAAGCAGAGATGGGGGTGGGGAGGACAGATGCCTTTTGTAAAAAAGGATATGTGAACCCAGACCTAGTGTAGATTTATGTACCCTTGGCTGAAAGTAGTACAGCCCAGAGCATTTAGTACCCCGTATCAAAAGTATTCTAAAATATTATTATCATATTCATCACCAAAAATGACCATAAAACTTGCTACTGATTCTTTAAAAAATTGAGATACTTTCCATATTTGAAA